TGGCCATGGGTCCAGGGAGGGGGCGGGGCAGGGAACTGGTGCACTTGAAAGGAGGGTCTAACGGCAAATTTTCACTCCCTCCTCTTAAATGATTGCTTGGCATAATTGAGATATTAGAGTTTAATAGTTTTAAAAATTGTAATCAATCTGAATTCCTGAAACAATTGTTTACCTTCAGACCAACTAAATATCAATATTTTTGAACAATATTGACTGTTAGGTGACTTTATGAGCAGTGAAAAGTGGTTAAACTAGGCTTGGCTAATTGAAGTACGAACTTCTCAAGTACACTCTCTTTGTTGTTCTTTCATATATGATATTCGTAATACATACAATTAAGTTTTTTACCGCGTTTTCAATATTTTGAATACAGTGGAAATCTGCGGAAAACGTTTGTGAACACCCAAACATGTTTAACTGAATAATTTTACTTATATTTGATAAAACGATTTAATTTGACTTATTCAACCTGTTCCAAAATAATAAAGAAAAAACATTCTCAAAATGTATCCTTCAGAATAGACTATTTGAGAGAATTCTAAAGATCGATTATGTGCTTTATCTTGGCAATTATTCACTTTTTAAAAAACGTTTTAATGGTGTCAATGAATCCTATTCATTTTCTCTATAATACCGCACTCTCAGCTCAGATGCCATGTCTATCCAGTCAATCCCTTTAAAAAGTATATATATCTAGCAAGAAAGAATCTTTCAACAACTGGTTGCGAAGAGTTTAAAATATCCAGCTCGGTTCTAACCTTGAAGATTAATCGACTGGATTCTGTAATATTTCATTTTAAACTTTTAGAGAAATAGTCGAATGAAGACTAGTGTTCATCGAAAAGGATGGTTTAGAGATAGATTGAAATTGGTTTTCATTTTTTTCCGGATCAATTTGGTTCTGCAAGGACCTTACGAAACCTAATTTCCTAAAGGTGTTGAATAATATCCTATTAAAAACTTTGTAAACTAACATGCTGAAAATATTTTACAGGACGATTTTTCCAATTTGAATTGATCCGGAATAATCGTCCCGTAAACTTTTAACCAGTCTGACACACCTAGCTCTGTGTAGCATCTAGGAGGTAGCTCTGTGTAGCATCTAGGAGGTAGCTCTGTGTAGCATCTAGGAGGTAGCTCGGTATAGTATCTAGAAGGTAGCTCTGTGTAGCATCTAGGAGGTAGCTCTGTGTAGCATATAGGAGGTAGCTCTGTGTAGCATCTAGGAGGTAGCTCTGTGTAGCATATAGGAGGTAGCTCTGTGTAGCATCTAGGAGGTAGCTCGGTATAGTATCTAGGAGGCAGCTCTGTGTAGCATCTAGGAGGTAGCTCTGTGTAGCATCTAGGAGGTAGCTCTGTGTAGCATCTAGGAGGTAGCTCTGTACAGTATCTAGGAGGTAGCTCTGAGTAGCATCTAGGGGTAGCTATGTGTAGCATCTAGGAGGTAGCTCTGTGTAGCATCTCGGAGGTACCTCTGTGTAGCATCTCGGAGGTAGCTCTGTGTAGCATCTAGGAGGTAGCTCTGTGTTGCATCTAGGAGGTAGCTCTGTGTAGCATCTAGGAGGTAGGTTCAAATAAGTTGTCAATTAGGTTAAGAATGGTACGTGCCGTTTATTTTCTAAAGTTTTAATCTTTTATCATTTGAATCGGCTTCTGGAAACTTACCGTATAAAGCCTTTATGCATTGAAATATTTTGATGTCCCATTGGAAGATGAATGGAAAGTTCCGGTTTTACAAGAACTTTTAAATACAAGAATGAATAATTTATTTGTTGAAGGATACGATGATTACGTAATAACTGAAATGATAAATATGTTATGAAGTGAGTAAAAATCAATGTTTTCTATTTGTGCATAATTTTGCATATTTTTTCTCTTTTCTTTTGGAAACCTGTATTTTCAAAAAAAAAATTATTTAAACAAATTTAAACTACACCATTTATATATGTATTTATATCTTTGTGTGTGAATAAATCTTTATAATATAATATAAATTGATCTGGATGAAGTGGAAACACGGATTGAAATTGATCTGGATGAAGTGGAAACCCTGATTGAAATTGATCTGGATGAATTGGAAACCCGGATTGAAATTAATCTGGATGAAGTGGAAACTCAGATTGAAATTGATCTGGATGAAGTGGAAACCTTGATTGAAATTGATCTGAATGAAGTGGAAACCCTGATTGAAATTGATCTGGATGAAGTGGAAACCCTGATTGAAATTGGTCTGGATGAAGTGGAAACCCTGATTGAAATTGATCTGGATAAAGTGGAATCCCTGATTGAAATGTAAAATGCAGAATGTTTGAGCTAAGATTATGTTGACCCGAGATAGGGATGGGACATCGTTATGAGGTCTTCTTATACACATTTAAGTTTTTTATTTTAAAGTGTTATAGCTCACATAGCAAAATACGGCTTGCTATTTTTGTTACATTAAGTAAAAATATAAACCCAAACACATTTTCAAAATCGTTATGGCTGATATCCTTTGCCAGAGCAAAAGTTTGGCATAATGTAATAAAAGCAAAGTAACGTGCATACATGGGTGTTAACACAAATTCGAAATATAAGGAAGACGATTTTACCGACTCAGATGCCGTTGACTATTTTCAAGACATATGAATCTATTTCCGCCGGTCCGCCCACATGGCACCCTCGCTCCTTCAATATACAATATACAATATACAATATACAATATACAATATACAATATACAAAATACAATATACAATATACATTATACATCTAATGTTTAAAAAGTTTGAAAACTGGATTCAAAACGACGACCATCAGTATCTCCAGGTCCCTGTTAACGTACAGTTTCAACAATCAACATTGTATCTAGCACCAAAATCTCGTTTCCTACTTTAACTGAAAGAACAGAATCTAAATAAGATAAATGGTCCATTTTGTCACAAAATGATAAAAAAATATAATTGATCTATTATTTCTTATTTCAGTGAGTCGAATTAAAAAGAATGCATAAAGGCAAATATTTACAGTGATATCCTTAAATCTCTATTTGAGCAACAATGAGGGAGATATCTCAGTTTTCTATCCTAAAAAAGTTTGCTTTTGATTTATGAAAAATCCATTTTAGAAAGAAACCACATTGAAATCATCAATTTTTAGAGAGAAAACAATCTTCCAATAGATAAATTATATAGGTTCACTTCAAATTACGCGTTGATTCTAATTTATTTTATAATTGATATAATATTTTGGAGAAGTGCGCCTTATTTTTAAAAAGTATTTTCTAAAAAGATTTTAATTAACTTGTTTTTTATGACTATCGAAAGAAGACGCAAATCTTTTCTTAAAACCCTGATTAAAAAACTCGTTATAAAGCTATTTCTTATTTAATCAGCACAGAACTTTCTGCTATTTTTCAGATATAATTTCTATAGTTCAGTTTTAAGATTTTAACGACTCTTAGTCCAACTTTGCTATAAAAAATAAACTGAATGAAAAAGTTCAGGAACTATTAGATTTTTACAAAACAGAGAGGGACAAAAATATTTTTAAAAATATTTTTAAAATAATAAAATAAAAAACGAAGTAAAGGCTTAAAATAATTGCTATATTTCCCTTATTCATTATAATTTCAGAATAATAATCGAGATGGTTTTTTCAATATCTACAATTTTCTCAAACCTTAAGGAAAATATCTTGTTTGAAAATAAGAAGCTTTCACCATCTACAATGAGGGAGGGAACACCCGAACGCCATGCAGCAAGAGCCTCCGCTATGCAGTAAACGAGCCTCCACTATACAGCATATAGCTTCCTTAAAACTCTTGATTTTTACATGTAATATAAAATTTTATTCATTTTTATCAACATAGTAGCACAAGAATTTAACTTTAGATTAATGAAGTTCATTGATTGTCATGATAACTTATATTGACTCATAAAGTGGTTTATACGATTTATGTTTTACAATTAAATATTTCTTACACAGTAAGGAGGCTATTTGGAAATTGATTTCTGGATGAAACTTTGATTTTGTTTTAATCTTTGATCTAAGCAGTACCTTTTTTTTGGGAGATTTTCGATTTAGATTATTTGTCAATTAAAGTTTTTGATTATCTTAATCTGATAAAAATTTCAACTTTTATAAACAACTTTACAAATCATAATTAGTCACTATTTTTAATAATTGATTAATACTTATAATCTTTTATAAATATGTTATGCCACTTCTTCCAAAAAATACAAAAACTTCTTTACTACATGTAAAAATCATGAGTTTTAAGAAACCTTTCCTGTAAGCGGAGGCTCGGTTACTGTATAGCGGAGGCTCGGTCCGCCAACCAAATCTGGGAGGCTCATAGCGTCCGGGGGTTCCCTTCCTCTTGCAATAGTGGAATAAAAACAAAATTCACCGTTTAAATGTAATAAAAGCTTTTTTTGTTTTAATTGAAAAAGCAAACTTAATTGTTTTAGCGGAATTAAAGCGACCTTAATAGAACTGTAATTAAAGCAAACTTCAATATTTTAGTGAATTAAAGAAAAACTTTAGTTGAATTTTAAACGAACTAGATTGTCTTGTAAGAATAAAACCCAATCTTATGGATACCAAAAAAGGCCTTCCAGTTGTAAATACAAGTAAAGAAAAAACCTGAAAAATACGTAAAATAAAAACCAAAAAATTTAGAAAAATTACTTGGTAAGAAGTATAAGTAATTTTTCGTATAAATACTTTTCTTGAAAACCAATGCATTTAAAAAAAAATTACATGGTATGATAAATACGTAAAAATACGTAAGTTCTTTAACCAAAAGTTGAGCATACGTATTTATACGTAAAAATACCTATTAATACGTATACCTATAGAGACTTTGGTATTTTTAGGTTTTCGGGTTAGTAGGGTATCTTAAGATTTAACAAAAACTAAATTTGATATTACATTTAGTACTTATTTTTATTTTCTAAGTTTTCCTACATATAAAATTAATACTATGATATTTAACATTTGAAACTGTTTCTTAATACAAAAAAATAACAACAGAATAATTATAAATGTTCTTAAATAATTTTAACCAATTTTCATCAAATATTTGGTTTCGTCCCAAAACCTTTAATGCCGGGAGAAAAATAACTTCTCAAAAAAGGCTTTAACATATTAATTTAACGATTATGTCAATGACTGTACTGTAAGTGTACTTATGTAAAACATTACAAGGATTCTCCCCAATTCAACGACATTTAATAATATTACGACAGACAACTATATTATAAAATTATGAACCTGCTTAATATGAAAATTTAAATGCTATTACACTAAATTAAATATATATCAGTGAAATGACGACTCCTCTGAATTTTCAAAGTTTCGTAGTCTCAAGACGCCTACTCGACAATTTTCAGAGTTTCGTAGTCTCAAGACGATACTCGACAATTTTCAGAGTTTCGTAGTCTCAAGACGATACTCGACAATTTTCAAAGTTTCGTAGTCTCAAGACGCCTACTCGACAATTTTCAGAGTTTCGTAGTCTCAAGACGATACTCGACAATTTTTGGCCTTCTTTACATTGAACCGTTTGATAGTATATACTTAGTAGTAATTATTGTAATACATTCTAATCCTGACAATATTCACTGTGCTACCCTCACAATATGTGTATTCTGTATAAAAAAATAGTGCCCGAGGTACATTTCCCTAGTTTTAGATTACAGATATGTAATTTCAACATGAATTCATTGCTATTTCATCTTTGCTAAGTTTGCAAGTCAAGATGGTAGCTCACTTGGATGACTTGGATTCCTGGTCCCAGTTTTAGTGGTCGGCTAAAATTTCCATTCCCCGTCCCCTATCAGCTGATGATTTGCCGTGACAGATGACTTTCTTGTGTCAACTGATGAATTGATGAGTTGTGAATGGCTGACATGATCCTGCGTCAGCAGATGAATCGACTAAACAGCTGACATGATCCTGTGCCAGCTGATAAATTGTTTTAACAACTGACATGGTCTTGGGTCAGCTGATGGTGTGTCTGGACAGCTGACATGATTCTCACGTTTCAGCTGACATGGTCCTATGTCAGCTGAAAGATATCAAGGATCAGCTAGTGCTTTGTTTTAAACAGCTGAAAGATTCCTTCTATCAATTGAAATCGGATGAAAGTTGCTTGAAATAGCTGCAGTTGGATTGAATTAGAGTAATATTCAGGACGAGCTGATATTTTAACAAGATATCAGCAGCGAGCTGATCATTTAACAAGATATCAGCAGCGAGCTGATATTTTAACAAGATATCAGCAGGTAACGTAGTAGCCCTGGAACAGATTCGTCTGAAAAAAATACACATTTTATTATTTAAACTTTAAATATTCCAGTTTAAGGGACTTTGAGCGTATTTTCAAGTGACCTTTCATGCAAAGATGACAATGCCCGATTTACAATGGTACCCTTTAAAGGTTTGTCTGATCAAGTATGAATTAGATATCCGTGTGTTAGTTTCTGTTAATTGTTTATTTCCAGTTGCGATTTCTCTGCAGAAGTGACTTGCACATTCCATGCTTATAAGAGGCAATGAAGAAATTCACAGAAATAAACACTTTTCGAGTCAGAAAAACGACTTTCTGTACCTGTGTAACTAATATGAACGCTGTAAGAGCTCCCCCGGCTGACCCTATTTGTGTAGCTGCTCCGCAGTAGAACAATGCTCCAGCCTCACGACATAACCCAGCTATCGACACCTGCAGTACACAACATACATTCAAAACTGCAGTACACACAAAAATAAACATAAAAAGTACAGTGTCCGAATTCAATGAATTTGAGCCGTGTCTTAAATCCGCCAAAAACATGTTTTAATTTAGCGCCGGCTTAAATCTTGAAACAGTGGATGTAATTTTAAGTGGAACCAACCATATTTGAGCCGCGTCTCAAATTTATGCCGCGGCTTAAATTCTTTAAGTTCGGCCTCAGTACACGTAAAGCAAATATCGAACACATTATATTGGGCACATTTCCATTTCTTAATAAGTTCTCCTTAAATCTATTTACTTGAAATGTTTTGATATCATTATTGAAATTAGGTGGAAAAAATAATAAAAACAGCCAAAAGCTATTTTCCACCTAATTGCTTTATACTTGTACTGTTAACATAATCACCAATTTGTAATTATAAACTCGTTTTGTACACAGATACAAGTATTTTATAAATAAACTTTATCTATCGATCTAATCTTGAATTACCAATTCAGGATTTGAACCGGCGGTATGTAGTTAAGCGACCTCTCCAAATAGTTTAATTTAGTCCCAGGAATGAGAATTTATAAATAGACCGATAGTGATCGGTTGTGGGGTTAGTTACGGATAGTTCAACCAATTCCCCATGCCCTTCTAATCACAATTAGAACAAGCTACTCCTCACTGTTCATTATAGTCCCTGAAAGACCGTTAAACTAGACTTGATTGCTTTAGTGCTAACCTTGACATATGAGAAAAGAGCTCCAGAAGCTACCCAGCCTAGAACAGTTAGAACAGCTCCTAGATCTCCCCAAAGCATAACTGGAGAATTCAAGGCAGTAGCTACTATATAGCTGGTGGTAATAATACCCAGTAGTGCCAGTAATCCAACCATCTTCTTGTTGTAGCAAGGCAGGAACATCGCCAAGAAAGCCATCAAAGGATTAGCCATTGCGTTAAGCGTAGCTGCTAAGTGATAAACTGTGTTTCCTAAATATTTTTTTTGAATTAATAGGACTTTAGACGTATTTTAGTCGTGAATTAAAGAGATGTCTTTGCTTAGCGCATGGAATTTTATTTCTCTACAAAAGTGACTGCTGCAGGAACAATGAAGGAAATTGTCTTAATTAAAAAGATTTAAGATAGAATTATTATCGGAAATGCCACTCTATAGATGGAGGGTCCATTTAAATAAATATGCTCCTCCATTTAAATTAAGAGAGTATTTCTCAAACTTCTTCGATTCAAATGATGCCCTCCCCCCCCCCCCCCGAGACCCAGGGGTGACAAGAGTAAGATTAGAGAGATGAGTTTCTATTGTTAGAATGGTTTATAGTTTAGAATAGTTTAGTATAGTTCAAAATACCCAAGATATATGCAATAACTAGGAATTGCAGAGATAGTAAGCTCTGTTTTTTCGCTTTCATAAGATTAATGATGTAATAGTTGGTTTTAGTTTTAAGGCATTTATCTCTAGCGCAGGAGCCTATGATTTTTTATATCTTTTATAAATACTTCGCTTGTCTGTTTGTATCCAATTCACGTCAAAACGGCTGAACCGATCGGGCCCAAATTTTGTGTGGGACCTCATATGACCCCAGGGAAGGTTTATGAATGATCAACATTTCAAAAATTTGCCTCCAACAAAATACAATTTTCAATAAATTTAAAAATCCATTGAATTGTTTATTAAATCCACGATTTTTTTAAAATCCGCGAACTTTTTTTGATTTTGTTTTACAATGAATTCAGAGAAATGTTCACATTAGAAATTATAGATGGGCGCGATAAAAGTCTTGTATTATAGAAAGGATGAACCATTTTAGTTAGACATATTAAGAGACGTAGTTTAACTAACCGTAAACGGTTCAACTACTTCTCGTTTACCTTTAAATACGACTTCAGGCCTATATTTTCTGTTAAACTCTACATTTTTTAAGTGGAAGAAAATCAATCTAGTAGTAATTAGAAAATTATAACATGGGATACTGCAGCCCTAAATGCAGTGCTTAGGATCCTGGATCCGGATAAAATTGAAAATAATCAACCAAAACCTGCTTCAAAAAAGTTTTTGCTCTCATAGCACAAACTTAAACAAATACCCTCAGACTGCTGTTCCATCAAGTTTCAGCATAAGATTAAGCGGAAAAAGAAACTTAAATGTAAAAAATTTTAAATTTGTCAAATAATAAGTAAATTATGACCTGGATCCGGATCCCTTTTTTTCAGGGTCGAATTCTTCGGATCCACATCAAAATAAACTGGATCCTAACCATTGATTTAATGTTAAAAAAATGGTCAGACATGATCCCTCTGCACAACAATTTTTAAGCATGTTAGAATAGTGGGGAGGGGGGCTCATTTGTTAATTTAGGTCACTATTGATTATTCAGTATATAAACTTATACAGTACAGTATATATTAACCAAGGTGATAAATGAAAGCCCAAAAATACCAGATATTCATTTGTATCTGGCTGGAGATTGAAGAAGGTGTGAAGAAGGGCCAATAATGTTTCTTTTACATCAGGCAATATCTTCAGAAAGTTGTCAAGATAAATAATGAGAAACAAGTCTCTTGGGATAGGTCGTGCAGGTTGTGTATTTTGGAACCAGAAAATCATCTCATTTATTTATTTCTTTAAAAAAAAAGTTCCAAAATGAAGTACATAATTTCATTTTAAATTTGTTGTAGTTTCCTAACAATAAACTCTTTTTTGAAATTGATAAGTTATCAAGTACTCCTAAAATAATAAAAAAATATAATCTGTGTATTGAAACACTGTAATATTATCAAGTTATCAAGTACTCCTAGAATGATAAAAAATATAAATCTGTGCATTGAAACACTGTAATAATATAAAGTTATCAAGTACTCCTAGATTAATAAAAAAACATAATCTGTGTATTGAAACACTGTAATATTATCAAGTTATCAAGTACTCCTAGAATAATAAAAAAGATAAATCTGTTTGTAATATAATGAATCTACAAAATACTCTTAAGAGTAAAAAAGATAAATCTGTGTGTTGGAGCAATGTAATTTTATCCGTCTTCAAATATTGACACCACAGCTCCTCGGTGGGGATAGTATTGGGAAGAAGAAATATAAAACAAAATCTAAATAACATGCTAAAAATATTTTCGACAAAAACAAAAAATGAAAGGATTCTAGCCGTGATTTAAAGCTATTAGAGAATGGGAATGGAGCAGGAGAGTTATATATGAGGTTCACTTGTATTTTTTTGTAGCTAATAACACAGATGATAAACACACATGTGATAATTGATTATAGCAGTCGGTAACGTACTGGACAAATCTTTAAAGAACCATCTTTAAACTATCTAAACTATACTATATTGGATTGAGTGCAAAAGCTGGTCAATTTAAAATTTGTTTAAGGTTCTTTGGCCCTGGAAAATATTTCCGTATAAAAAATGTCAATTTGTGCAAACGGGGAAAGTCGTCAGTGGAGCATAACACCCATGTCCGGAGAAGCAACACCTCTTTTGTAATCTTCCCAAAAACATGAATTTTACATTTCTGCAGGTAAAATCTTTATAATCTTTTACTTTTGTAAATTAAATCAAAGAGACAAATATTGGGGGAACCTTGTAAAACTATTTCCTGGGAGTTTAAAATTCCACTGAATGCATTCAAATACCTAATGAGGGCCGGGTTTATAATTTTGCTGGAGGGATTCAGATATATGTCTGAGATCCTGAGCACTGCACTGGTGGAACTGTGAAGGCTAAAAACTACTTACCGTAAGGTAGACAGGAGTAGGATTGTATTGATGGAAGAGCTCCATTGGCCAGGAAGCATACAGCTCCAAGGAGCACCAAAAGAGGATAGATGCTCCCAGGTTGGATTACAGGAGTTACAGCTCGGGGAGATATTTCACCAGAATCATCCTGAAACAACAGGGTTTAGTTTTCAACAAATATTTTCGCTCAATTCGAAAAAAAGGATTTTCAGGGGAAAAGTATCAAGACCAAATAGAGGGGGAGAAAATTTTGTCCAATTTTCCTTTTTTTTGAATTTTTTGAAATGGGTGATATTATTCATTATATATTCTCCAGTCCCAAATCATCCCATATATTGAATATTCATTCACATTTAACCACGTTTTATTGTTCAGATCTAAATACAGGGAACGTACTCAGTGTAAGAAATGGGCCAAGTGTTAGTTTTGGAATTTACCCTAATATAGGAACGTGAAAATTTGTTAAGTTTTTTCGAGGGAAATTTCAGGTCACATGAAATGAATCAAGTGATGATTTTAGTTAGAATCGATAACATATAATCCTGTTATGAAGAAAGGACCCGGAACTCATTAAACCAATTTGTTTTCTCTAAACTTTCTCTGAAAGCGATTCATTCTATTTCTAAAAAGGTTAGATATGATGAATCCGTATCCTTTCTAGGGAACTCATTAATATTTTAAAATGTCTTTTCCAGCAATGAAAATAGTTTAACCCTATCCCTGCTGGGGTACTTGAAAACCAGGATATGCTGGGGGGGGGGGGTCAATTTGACCCCCCCCCCTAAATCCCATGTTTTATGTCCAAATATGACAAATGATACATCATTAGAAAGCTCTTGTGCTCTACTTTTAGAATCTGGAAAAAATTGCAAATTTGCAAAAATAGAATTTTTTATCGCAAAATCCATGCAGTTATATAGAAAAAATGTTTGCAAAAAAAAATTTATCCAAAAAATGAAAAATTATACATTTTGAAAAGCCCTTGACCATGCCATTTCAAATATGCAAAAATTTTTGCAATATTTGAAATTACCTGATTTTTAATCAAGAAAAACTAAAAATGTGCAAATTTCCTTTGACAGGTTATTTGCAAAAAATTTGCAATTTTTTTTTCGCAAAACTTGTGCAATCCGTTTCCTTATGTCNATAGGATGGTAGAGTAGTATCTGAATATATATATCCTGTAATATCTCTTGATTAGGTTGAGTCTAGTATGGTGTAGAGGAGGGTAGAGTAGTATCTGAATACGCGTCCTGTATCAGTTCTCTCTACTCCTATATCCGGCATCCCTTCAACCTTCTCCTAACTGCAGAGAAGGTTTACTGACCCCCCCCCAGCAGGAATAGGGTTAAGAAAAATAAATTAGTCTTTGAGAAAGTTAAAGGCTTTAAACTTGAATGTTGAACTTCTTTCTTTCATCTGAACCCAAGGACGGGGATGCCTGAAAAAGACGTTCTCACAAACCAAATACGATAGGTTCAATTTCATGCAATTAAAAAGAGTCCCGGGGTGTATACTTTCTTTAAAAATCATGTTTAACCCAGAAATTGAGTATTTTTACAATTGTGTGTTCTCTGTAAAACTGAGTTGCGGATTTTATCGAATTTAGCCCTTTTTAAGATGGGAAAACGACGATATCTTTCCCAATGCTGCACAGATAAGATTTAAAGATTGTGAATCGGACATGCCAATCCTTACTTAGAATCTGAATAAAGATTACACCGCAGTCCCTTTAATTTTCCTTACCTTGTCCCTGTGCTGGGTTTGAAGATCCTCACTTGATCCTGATCCTCTCCTACCGCTAGGGATCAATCCTTCTCTTTCCTCTCTACAACCCAGAAATATATATAATCAAGGACGGAGATCTTTGTGATCAAAAGGAGTAATATGAGAACCGTAATATCGTAAATAATACTAAAACTTTTTTAATCATAACAATCATATCCTTTTTGTATCTATTAGTCTTTACAAAACATGTTTAATTATATTCAATTTATTTTCCTTAAAATTCGAGTATTCTCAGCAAAGAGTTTTAAATTAAATTAAATTAAGATTGTACTCAATTTCCATTAAAAAAATGTTACATATGGAGAAATTTCAAGGAAAAAAGTAACCAAAAAAACCCGATCGCTTTAAAAGGGTAAGTTCGGTTCGTTTTTTCTCGGTTATTTTCTTTTAGGATGGTGTGGTGTAAGAAAACCAAATGTTTAGAATAAACACTTCAAAATTTGTAGAACATCTGAGATTTTTGTGGAAACTTTTAAAGATACAAAAAGCTCTTGCCCATCAAATTGTGCATGTTTATACATCACAAGATATCAGGTGGAAACTCTTCGAAATAATTGATAATAAAATCCTTTTTTTAACCAGTGAATTAGTTAATAATTATAAAACTAAATAAAAATAAAAATAAAAATAAATCCAATAAATCTCCGGGTTTCCTTGAAGAAGGTAGGAAGTGAAGAAGAATAAATGCAGTGAGTGAAAGAATCATCATCCCAAGAAGGAAAAGAAAGAAGTCCTGAGCAGTAAACCTCGGTTCCTCGGATACAGGAACCAAGACAGTTGTTCCGTTCGTCAAGGTCTGGTTCTGACAAGTTGGGTTTCCTCCAACACCCTGAGAATATACAGAAATTAGATCAAGAAGTTATCCGTATTTTTTAAGTTTTAAATTGCTCTTGGATATCAGGTTGTCGGAACCCAACAGAGATAACTATAGATTGACAAATCAAGCAATTATGTCTTGACATTCTGGCCGAGTGAAAATCGAGATCAAGCATTGTAAATTCATGTTATCTTATACACAAGTTTTAACCTCAGGTTACCTAGGAATATTGTTGCCGTATTGAACAGAATAGTTTATAATTGCATAAAAATTCCGTGTAAGATATAAAAATAAATGTCATCCGACTGTTTTAAGTCTCTGCTTCTCTGTGAGGAAAAATCTAAATTTTCCAAATTTAAGGAGTGTAATGTAATACATCCATTTACTCTGCTGAAGGGTTTCTCTCAGTTCAATTTATCCTGATTCTAAACTTAGATTAAACATTTTTCAACAGTTCAGTGCTCAGTGAACATATCCCTTAATATTGAGTAGGGGGAATACACCCCCCCCCCCACCTAATAAAAAATCTTGTTTTTAAAGTTCTAAAATTATTTATTGACATAAACTCTACGTTATATATAATAAACCCAAGAAACTCTATAAAAAAAACATTTTTTAGAGCTTAGTCAGTGGTTATTATTCTTTTTAAATATAGAAAATACAAAAAGTATCAGAGGAATAAATGATTAAGAAATATTGTTCTTAATTTCTAAAAAAGGGGGTGATTTTTGATGATTTAAAAAAAAATTGAACGTTTTACCTATGAAAAATTCATTTATTTTCCTTGTAAATCATTTGTTTTCCTTTATCCGGGAAAGAAATTGGGGAAAATATACACCCCTGTAAATTAACTCATATTGAAACATATTTAAAAATCTTTTATAAAGATGATTTAAAGGGTAACCTGTGCTAGCGCTGCGATGGAAGGAATAAACCCGCTCATCCCCTCCCCCACCAGATAGGAGTTGAGGTAGACGTCTCTATACAACCCCATGTAGGGCAGGAACAAGACGGAGCTGGTGCAGTCCACCAGGGACAAGAGGAACACGAAAACAAACAACATCGTCGACCTCTCCACACCAACAATCTGAACGTTAACTGTCGTTGTAAATACAAGTGACCATAAACTTGAAGGGGGCATGCAAGATTCACAGAGGTACCCTCTGAACCTTTATTTGATCAAAAATGTAGAAAATGTAATAGTTTTTAAAAATAGTCAATTTTCAAAGAGAAAAAGATTGTTCGCATTATTGATCAGATAACGCTTTTAAGGATACCGTTGTAAATCGGACACTAAAGCTACGTCTGCATACATTTAAAGTTTTCTCTTTTCTTTATGAAGAGAACTGTTTCCATCTGAAAATATTATATGTGAACTTTAAAAATTAAATTCCCACTTTTTTCATTTCATATTTTTATTGAATGTTAATGGATAGGTCAGTTAATTTTCTTCATTGCAAACCAGTGAGAGTAGATTTGTCCTGGTTCACAATATCAAAACTTGAATTAAATTAGGATAAGAGGATAAAAATTGATAATCTTTGTTGAATAAAAATACGAGAAATAACAAGGAAAACAAAAAATTATGAAAAGGGAAAGAGAAATTTAAAAAAAATGAAATAAATATATCAGAGCCGTTAAAAAATGGCTTATGGAAAGTAAAGACAAAAATAAAAATAGGATCACTTAGTAATAATGATCCGTTTGTAATGGACAATTTCAGACAAAATAAATAAGCATTAATTTAAAACGGGAAAAGGTCAGATATAAAATGTTTCAGAAAATCAGGCAGTATTAAAAATAAGAACCTGAAAACCAGTGATTACGATCTGCCACAGTTTGGTTTCCTGGATCCGAATTTTTTTAGGGTTTTATTCTTATAATTTGGGAAAATAAATGATTTTTTAAGGAAACAATTAAGAAAAAGAAAGAAAAAAGTTGCCTCATAATGTCCAATCAATTTATCAAAACTCTGAAAATAAACACCCCTAAGACGTATCCGAACCCAAGGGGGATAATATCAACTAAAACGAGTTAAAACGTATTGCGTTTAAAACAAAAACAAAACTTAACTATTAACTAATGAGAGATTATTGAAAAATTCCTAATATCTGAAAGGTTCAAGTCTTAGCATAAAAAAGCAATTAAAAAAATTCTTCATTATTTAAAAAATAAATAAAATTTGAAGAGATGTCAACGACCTTGATCCATATTCGCATCAAAATGAAATGGATCCCAAACATTGGAACAACATTATAGAGAACCCAGATGATAAAAAAGTTAATGAATATTCTTTATTACCTCCGAGGTCACACTCCATGACAATGCTAGACCTAATGAGGCTCCGCAACCTAGGACTAGGACGATAAGAATGATGATGTGAGGAGGGGGAGGGCGGGGGAGAAAGGCTCGGAGGAGACTATATCCAATAGGACCAATATTGGCGATCTAAACACAGGATAATAAATTAGTTGGTTTAATAAAAGTATTATGTTTTTTTTTTATTCATTTAACATTAACTCAGGAAAATTATCAGTTCGTTAAAAATAATGTTGGAGAAGTTTAACAAAAACAATTTAAAAATTTTGACAAAATTAATTTTGATGAAATTTATCATAAGTTTAATAAAATTCTTTTTGTTTTGTTTAGCCATTAGATATTAGGACTGAAAATGACAGTCACTGCATAATATTACGCGACCCTAGATAACAGCGACCCTTAAATTTATTAGCGCTGTTAACGATCCACAGCATACACCCCAGTTTTAAAATTTTGAACACAAATAAGACAATCTGAACAAATCAAATTTATTTCCGAGTACCAGACAAATTTAATAATTTCTGTCAAAATAACCATTTTGTTGATAAAAACAAGGAGTTGGTTTGTAAATGCAGATTTTATTAGCTGTAAGAAGTGAATTTATTTTGCATTATCTAAAAAATATCCACAGAAACCAGAGTTTTGGCAATAATGCGAGTTATTTTGACAAAGGTCATTAAAGTAAAGCGAGGAAATGGCCGAGATATCGCAGAACGAAGATATCGCTTCTTAGATAATAGTTAAAGGACACCCGTATAGGATGGAATAAGAAAAATCTAGAAAAGGGAATAGATGTGTCCTTTCAGCATATAATAATATAATCTATATAATAAAGCTCTGATATATTTGTAACCATATATATATTTGTCGGCTACAGATGGCCTAACGGCTGGACCGAATGGGCTGAATTTTTTTTGGAACCTAGGGGTATCCCGGGGGTAATATAGGCTAAAACAAATTCGGAATTTTTTTCTTCGAAAATTTAATTCTTTTTAAATCGATTTAAAAAAATCAAACATTTTCTTTAATTTGATTAAAAAAATTCTATGGGCAATGCCCGGCATTTCAGATAATATTTCATAAATGATCCTTTTATGTTGGAAAAAGGACGCAAGTTGACGGTAAACATTGAAGTAACTAAATACATCCGAGGACGAACATTGCACTGCAAAAACGTGGAACATACATACATCACACAGCTTTTAATTCATAAGATACCTGTACTATAGTTGATAGATACGAGGGTAGAGCCCATCCCTCCGGTAGCTGGTTTACTAGGACAGGGAGCTCCACCCATAGCCCGTTTATTGATATCCAGGAGGATATTCCGAACACAACAGCTAGTAGGTCAACCAGCACAACACGACCTCTGGAATACACAGTTATCATCATTTTTTAGATATTATTTGAATCATTAACATTCAATCCATTAAAAAGGTATCGACGCTCCTTGCCACCGAAGTGTATCAATGGATATTTTAATGGTTTTTATATTGTTCAAAAAGGGTAAATGCAACGTAGCATCGGCTATCTTAACTTCCCTGTGGTTTGAACCAACAAAAACACGAATTAATAATTTAAGAAATATGAGCTTTGTGACGTTCAATCAAGATGCTTCTAAAAAATTCTTAAAATTGTATGTTTTTATTTGCATATCATGATTTGAGTCCTATAGTTTTTCAGTTAACATCATATTTTTAATGTTTTTTCTTATCATCTTTTTTTATTTTGATGGTTTGACGTTCACGAGGTTCCTCAAAAATTTGAAAAGTTCAACAAATCTTTTAAATGATTTAACATGTAACATGTTAATTTATTTTTTTAATCAAACAATGTCTTAAATGTTTTTTTCTCTTGTGATCTCTGTTTATTTTTTATTTTGATTTAGTAAGAACAGAAAAGGGTAAACAAATCAAAACAAATTAATATTTTTTGACGTTCAAGAGGCTTCTTAAAATTTTTTTAAGTTCAACAAATTTTAAAATTGTAATTGTTATTTCCATATCATGATTTGGGTTCTTTTCTATTTTTGGTTGTTGTGATTTATGTTGATTTTTTATTTTAATGGTTTTAATACGATTAGAACTGAAAAGGGTAAAAATAGGGAAATAATTGTTTGACCCAAAATCCACACCAAATGACAAATTTTACAAAAATGCGAGTTTTTTGACGTGCAAGAGGCTAAACAAAAATATTAAATTTTTTATTCTATGCAAAATTTTAATTTTGACCTAAGGTATAACCCTAGACAAGTTTTCAAAACATTCGTTAAAATATATTTGGGTTTCTTATTTTAGTTCTAAATATCCAGAATGTGCCTAAATGTAATTAAAGCAAACTTAAGATACAATTTTGAAACATAATAGACTAAATAGATTTTTTGCGGAACTGCCTAAAAGCTCAAAAATCCTTGACAGAAGAAACCCGACTAAAAAAAGAATTAGAAGAACAATAAATAACTTGAAAATACCCCCCCCCCTTCCTAGTCCGGTGCCCTAAATGTAAAAATTTGAATAAAACCAGGTTTAGAATATTTTGTTATTCTACCTGATAAACTCTTGAAAACTCATCATTGTTGTCTGGTTCAACACTCTAGATATTCACATTAGTTTCAAGTTAACATTGTTTTAGAATCCGTTAATTCAGATCTGTTTACTCCTGTCACATATATTTTCATCGTCTTAGGTATTCACATGTTGATCACCTTGGGACTTAGAATTTGTAATTCACTTTATTTGTTTATTTCTGTATTCGTGAGTTGAAAAGCATAACGTTTAACAGATGTTTATGATTTAAAATATAATTTGTCATGCATTCTTATCATTTGCAGAGAAGGGTTTGGATTTTGCTTTGATTTCTGTTGCGTCATTCAGTGCACATTTTAAGCAATAGCTAGAGAGGAAGTGATCTGTCATCTAATCATGCTAACACTGGAACTCATTGTTCTGAAAATAATTTGTCATTTAAAATTGTAAATTTTAACAAATTTAGATTTATTTTAATTTCCATCTGTTTCAATTTGGTTAGAAATAGAACTAAATTGTTTAATTTAACTCTGAACACAGCAAGCAACACTTTAATTAAATTAATAGGACTAATCCAACAGAACTTAATAGTTTTACATTAATCTGAACAGGGTGTTTTGTATTATATAACAGGGGGTTCACAAAAATTAAATAAGAACATCTTTTTATTTTTAATTTTCTTGAAAATTTAAAATTTTCGGTGTCTTAGTTTGAAAGTGGCCAGGAGAAGTCTATCTTTCATCACTGCGAACTAGACAGAAGGGTAGGGTCAAATTTATTCTACATCTTTGTTACCTGTAGCTCTTCTTTACGCACAAGAATGAGAAAAACATATTTATTCAGTTACACATTACAAATTCCCTAAATTTTTGTTCTTCTCAATAGCTCTTTAATTAAGAGTTATGATTGCAAACATATCAATATTACGAGAAAAATACTGAAGTGTGACGTGTCCTGACTGAACGATAAGTTTTACTGTCTGTATTGGATCGTTCAGTCAGTAAACGAACAAAATAGATGGGAAATGAACGATAATTTTGAGAACATCCCATAATCGATTTTTTTGAACAATTGAAAAAAACAAACGAAATGAGTCGTTCACGAAAGATAAACGAAAAAAAAACTCTAGACTGTCATGTTACCGTAATCATCACTTGGGGCCTCCTTACTACTGCTATATAAAGAAACCTCTCCCACCTTACCCCCCACCCCTTTTTTACTGGTTAGGGGCCCCCGGTCCTTCAATTTATGATCGTGAAAAGAAATAAACCCCGTCAATTTCATTCCTGTTCTATGCTGCACAATCAGTTATGTAGAAAAACAATGATATCTCATTAATTTTAGATTAGCAAAAGTTTGAAGGTGCTATTGTGAATCGATTCTGTGACTTGTTACATGAAAGTACGTTGATGCAGTCCTTTAAAGATGAACAAAAGTTTTGTTATTATAAAATAGAATAAAGAAGAAATAATTTTACATCTAAATGCATAAATTAACAAAAAACAGTACGATGCAACCTTAGTAAACATTGATGGAAAAAAGGGATGCATTCTAGATTACACAAATTCAATTCTTCAGGGGATATTTTTTCGAGAAGGCCTTTTTTACTTTGGTATTTTAAGGGATTTTATTGCTCAAATTTCAGAAAAAATTATTCTTTAGAGGGTAAACATTTTTTTTCAGGCAGATCGCTATAGCTAAAATTGCTCACCAACTCCCTCCCCCTGGCTTCCAGAAAATAAGGTGACATTTGGTTTCTAATTCTGCCCCCCCCCCTAAGAACCTTTCAAGGGCCCCTACCCAGTCCCGGGCTTTATGCGAGAAATAAATTATAATGATAATAATTATTCAGAACCAATTTTTATAATTTCCCATCGAATTTATTTATTCCATTTCTACAGTTAAAAATCAATGTTTTACTCGTAGAGGAATGTTAAAATTCTAGAATATTTTTGTTAATGATTAATAATTAACAATTTTTTAATTCCTAAAATATTAATCTTGACAAGTATAATTGTGCATTGAAGATAAACAATGTTTGCTCACGTTTATTTTCACGTTCTTCACGGAGTTTTAGAGATTCTTAATTTCTCTTTAAAAATCAATAATTTTTTTATGCAGCTGAATAGCTTTAAAATAAAAAGTATTAAAATTCAATAAACATTTTGGAAGATAGAGAAAATTATTGAATACAAAATTTACGCACAAAATTAAAATCCTGGACGCTTAAAAAATCATAAATAAAATAAAATTGTTTTAAAATATGAAGAAAAAAATTTAACAACATAGAAATTAACTTTTTCACACCTCTCAACAAAAAATAATTTTAAAAGTAAACATATAACTTCTTGTGAATATTTGTACTTTAATTTTGCAAAAGTCTATTAGTAAAGGCCCTTTTTCTCGCTCCGAAAATAATTTGTGGGAACTGTTCTCGTTTAATACACAAAATTTGACTTTTAAGTGAACTGTACTTCAGCCATAACATTTTTTAAGCTAAAGGGGAGGATAGCGTTTAACGAAGCGTTATTTTTAATAACAAACCAAGAGTATATAATAACAATCAATAAAAATTACAAGTTTAAAAAAAGATATAACAATGAATGATATGTATTTGTGAAAAATAACTGTTTGTTGGTGTTTATGCCTCGAGCACCCAGACTCAACTGCTTACAAAATAAATACAACACGGAACGAATAGGTTGTCTAAATACTGGTGTGAAGTGAGTGTAGAGATATACGAGATGTGGACCCGCATTTTAGCGTGAACCTAAACATGCCTCACTATGAGACAACCAACGCATTACAAATTTAGGAGGTAAAATTTGATTGGACGGAACCAACTTCATATTAGCTAAATTTATTATCTTCTCTCTTGATTCAACTCAAATCAAATTAGTTCAATCAAATAAAACATATGCTTTGTTCAGAATGGTCCAAAGGCAACAAATTTTCGAGTTAGTATATGCATATTAGAACGGGCAACGGTGCTATGTGGACTGCACAATTGAAAATTGATCATTTATTTATTTATTTTACTCAAACGCACAGTGATTGTATTATGTTTGTGATTGTGTCACCAGCCTCAAAGAGTACAGCAAGTGTTCTTTAAGTGACCTTTCAAGCAAAGATGACAATGCCTGATTCACAACGGTACCCTTAAACACTTTGTCTGATCAAGTACAAATGTTTTTAACTTTAAAAATTATAAATTTCCATTGTGGTTTCCCTCCTGAAGTGACTTACGCATTTCTTCTGCAGGAAAGCATATAAGAATTATCAGAATTAAAACTTTTAACCTAAAAAATCGACAATATCTTTTACAAAATTGATAAGATAAAGGTTGGTTGAGAAGGTACAGAATTTGTTTCCTTCCGTTCAAATAATGAAAAGTTAGGTTTAAATAATGAAAAGTTAGGATCAAATAATGCAAAAATCCAATAATGATTCGTTGGTTTAAAATAATAATAAGTTTGTTTTAAATAGTAGATAACTTTTAAATAATGAATAGTCAGGTTAATTTGTTAATAGTTTGGTGAATATTATAAAGTTATTCATATTCTGAATAGTTTTTCGTTTACTAATCATATACAAATCTAATATACGATAAACACGTGAAACATATCATCTCATGTTTAAGGAAACTTTGACAGTAATTCTTCACAGCTTTTCTGTATATTTACAGAAAACTTTCTCCAGGTTTTTTTCTGGTTAAAACATGTCCGTGCATTTTTATATGTAAAGATATATGTAATTTTTCATTTTAAAACATTACATCACTATACAGTATACACAAGTCACGTTTAACAAACTAACATTATCATCTGAAAAGCACAAAGGTTAAAAAATAAGTCAAATTCAATTATATAACAATCGAAATTACAGTTTTGATGGAAGTTAGTCAGGCGATAATGAAATGACGAAACTGAATATGTGAGTACGGATTGCACTAGAATCAGCTGGAGCTGGAGGAATTGAGAAAGCTAGAGCGCCGACTCCATCAATATTCTGTTATTACGAGTTGTAATATATCTATACATAAACTTACAACATTTATAACACATTATCTATTATCTATTATTATATACCCTTAACTAGGACAATTTTTGGACCTTTCATTTAACTTTAAATAATTCTCATCCTTACATTTCCTCGTATATTCTCAACAACTCCTCCATATGTTTCCAGGAGTATTCTACACACCTCCTCCTGTTTTTTTCCCTGGAGTACTCTACACACCTCCTCCTGTTTTTTCCCTGGAGTACTCTACACAACTCCTTCTTTTTTCCCTGGAGTACTCTACACAACTCCTTCTTTTTTCCCTGGAGTACTCTACACACCTCCTTCTTTTTTCCCTGGAGTACTCTACACAACTCCTTCTTTTTTTCCCTGGAGTACTCTACACAACTCCTTCTTTTTTCCCTGGAGTACTCTACACACCTCCTCCTGTTTTTTCCCTAGAGTACTCTACACAACTCCTTCTTTTTTCCCTGGAGTACTCTACACAACTCCTTCTTTTTTCCCTGGAGTACTCTACACAACTCCTTCTTTTTTCCCTGGAGTAATCTACACAACTCCTCCTATGTTCTCCAAATACAACACAACTCCTCTTATGTTCTCCGAGTACTCAACACAACTCCTCCTTTTTTCCCTGGAATACTCTACACAAATCCTCCTTTATTTTCCCTGGAGTATTCTGCACAACTCTTCCTAAATGTTCCCTGGAGTATACAACACAACTCCTCCTTTATGTTATCTGGAGTACTCTATACAACTTCTTCTTGTTCCTGGAGTACCTTAAAAACTCCAAGTTCCTAGAGTACTCAACACAACTCCTCCTAAATGTTTCCTGGAGGACTACTCTACACTACTCCTCCTTAATATTTCTTAGAGTACCTTAAACAACTCCTTTATGTTCCTGTAGTGATTTACACAACTCTTCCATGCGTTCCTTGGAGTGCTCTATACAACTCCTTCTATTTGTTCACGTGAGTACTCTAAACAGCACCACTTATGTTCTCACAAATAATTTAAATTCAGAATTTCTTTCCTTTTTCTTTCCGTATTAAATAATTTTATATTGTTATAAACTTGGTGATGAATTTAAAAAGAACGGTACCAATCATCAACCCTAGAGGCAGGGAACCCATGGGTATTCCAACTTATTGCTTATCAGATCTCAAAGTAGGGTATATTGGATTAGCTTGAGTAAGACAGTCAAAAGTTTCAATTAAACGATTTAAAAAATATTTGCGTTACTTACACTATTAAAAATTTTGACCCTGAAAAGAAATCTGGACAAAAATCGAACATAAGTAAAGTAATGAACTCTAGGAAGTTTTTTACGAGTTTTAAACAGCGAACCTAAACGATTAAGAACAAGAATACAGGAGAGGTGATTTTTTTTGTACAAAAATTAGTTCGGTTTCCTCTCGGCCAATTTTCATAGCATCAATGTGACATATTGCTCTTTAGTTTTTAATGATGTCTAAATTTTAAAAAAATACTATGCGTGCAAATTCTTGGTAAAATATTTTATTCTAATTGCATCACTAAGAATTTGCTGACAACCCCTGTATGCTTAGTGCAGAATAAATTGGAACAAAACTGTCGCGTAGATATTTTGGTATTTCTTTAAATCTCAATTATCCAGGGCCGTGAACCCAACAGTTACTGTACCAATAATATTTACCTTCTTTGATTTGCAATCAAGAACATAATATAATTAATTACGAATACTTTCACAAAAACGTGGTGTAACTAAGCTCATTTTTTTCTAAAAAAAGTAGCATGTTTTTTAAATACTTATTAAACTTTTTTATTTGACACAAAACATTGTTCCCTAAAAGCACATTTAATATTTATTTTAGGTAAAACTGTGAGCTAAATAATATTAAACGGAAACTAAATAAACGTGAATTTATAATATATGAAATGTTTAAAGAATGAATTTGCTTCCTCCCAACTTCTCCGTTTCCAGCTCTCGATGGTGAAAATCTAAAAATACAAGAATTTCTTTGGCTATGACGTTGATTGGTAAACAATAACATGTATTCTAAAATCAGTCCTAACTCCACTCTATGGTTCAGTTTCTTTTTTAGAATGGGATACTGAACCGTGAACGGTGGATCCAGACCAGAACATTTGTTAGACTTGATTTTAATTTATATTTAATTATTCGTTTTCACATTTATTTGTCCGACCCACGACCCAAACAGTGTTTTGGAGATCTTAACGTCTGATCTTAGGCGTAATATATATTTTTTTTCTTTAGAAATAACGCCTTCTCCATTTAAAATTGTGTTGAGACCAAAAGTAAAAACTATGAGCATGTTTTGTTATCCGCGACAAGAAACATAAATACCGCTATAAAACTATTTTCAAAATTCATAATTGTAATTGGATATATGTTTCATAATAAAAACAATTATCATTTTCATAAGATCATGGATGCAAATTGCAAGGTGTTCACATATTCATTTGGTTAAGTGTTTTCGAACTAATACCCCGGCGATATGCAAGAAACGTTTGCACGGAATGAAAACTATTAAGGGGGTCTCATTTAAACAGAGGAAAAGTAAATATTTTTGTGGGGTTAAAATCTTTAATTGACCTTTTCCCTTCTATTATTTAAATTATGATACAGATCCAAAAGAGAATGCAGAATCGGTGGATCTTAAGTACAACTTAATTTTTAATTTACCTCGAGTACTTTCACTTCCTCCTGTTTCCACCCATTCCCAAAATTTGAGCAATTCTGATGAAAATATTGATGGTATCCATGTAGATTCCAATACTAGCGTTGACAGGATCAAACGGAGGTGCTCCATATCCGACAGGGTGTCTCTCCGCCTTGTTTATGATCTTCTGTGTATCGTAGAGAAGAAAAGCTCCGAACAGGATTAATCCTCCATAGATTGCAACACTGTATAAACCTGAAATATTTCTGTGTATATCACGGGTATATATTTTTAAGATAAAAAAAAATTAAGAAGATTTTTTATATTTTCCTCTTATATTGTAATGCTTATTTTTCAACTCCCATATTTTTAAACATTCCTTTTCTGCAAAAATAAAATTTCACCAAAAAACATATTAAAACCCAGAATGAGAATAAAAGAAATTTTAAGGGTATCGAACATAAGTAGTCATCATTTTTGTCCAATAAAAACAATTGTTTTTTTTCTTGAGTTTCAGAAGACGTACGTTAATGAACGGTTGGATTTGCTTCATTCAGGCATAAATACTAAGGCAGAGTCACAATTATGCCTTAATTTATATGAGGAAGAGAATGACACGATTTTTATAGTGTAAGAATAAAAACCTTAATTACCTGATCCTAAAGCAGTGGTTGGTGGAAGGAACATTGTTCCTAGACTAGCACAGAACACTATTCCCAGACCCATAGCTAGAGGTCCACCCCAGGTTAGGAACTTATCACTAGGAGCACACACTGCTACAGTAGATAATCCTCCAACCATACCAGCAGTATACCACGCAGCACGGGTCAGGATAGGGCCTCCTACAAATATATATTTAGAAAATATTAAAAATCTATGGAAAATTGGGAGTCCTTATTTAGTAGAGGAAATATTTATCCCTAATTATAATAGTTTGAGTAATTAAAAAATTAATTCTCAAATCAGCAGAATTATTATCATGCTAAAATTGGTCGTAACAAGAATGAAAAATGCCTTTCTTTCCGCATCAGCAAGGGTCTGAATATTGAAATAAAACTTTCTACGAACCCGACTGGAGTCTGAATTGGCACGCTCAGTTATCAGTGTTTTCCAATCGTTACACTTTTCATTAAATAATACTCTCGTTACCGTATTTTACTCCAGAGATGGAATTTAAAGAATTTGAGCCGCGGTTTAAATCTGCCAAACCCCGGTTTAAATTAAACGCCGGCTTAAATCTTGAAGCATTTGAAACAATTTTAAGTGGAACCATCCATATTTAAGCCGCGGCATAAATTTAAACCGCCGCTCAAATTCTTTAAATTCCATCTCTGGTTGTCATATTTTCCTTTTCGTTTGGTCTCAAATTTATTCAGTGATCCCTTCATTATTTTCTTGTATAAAACAGTGATTAGGATCCGGTGGATCCGCAAGATTTTGACTTCCTGGATCCGGAACCGCAAAAATATGCGGATCCACGAACCTGATCCAAGGGGCAAAATATCAACCAAAAACTGCAAAAAAAATTTACTCTCAAAACCCAAATCTGAACCATTGAAAAAAGAAAGGTTAAAAATATTTCCTGACTTCTGAATGGTTCATCAAGTTATAGCATAAAAACAAGAGAAAAAAACAAGACAAAAGATTTGAAAATTCAGCTTTGTTAAAAAATTTAGTAAATTTAGTAAATTTTTTAGATATAACCTGGATCCGGATCAATTTTTTTCCAGTTCGGATCCAGGATCCGGATCTGCATCAAAATTATGTGGATCCAAGGCACTGGATAAAAAACCAACCTAGAAAACAGATTGGCGCAATTACAGCTCCGATAACTGCACAGTGTAGGAGCCAGGCTGCCTGCTTAGCACTGGGAGCTCCTTGATATGGGATGGATCTGGCCAGCATTCCACTACCAATCATAGCAGCAATGGATACTCCCAGCGCAAGCCAACCTTGTCTTCCGACGATATTCATGGCTGCAGGGGACCTAGGGAAAACATTGTTTTACAATCATTTTATAATTGTTTTATATATTGAATATTTATTTTAGTTTTTACAGGGTTACCCACAAACAATTTTATTTTTTATATTTATTTCACTGTAGTTAAACTTAATTATTTCTTTGCTACCTGAATACTGCTGCAGCTGTACCAGCAGTTACGAGTATACTGCTGCCGAAATACATGTATGTATCCCTAATTCTTTCCTTCACATATGTCGGCCAGAGAACTTGTTTGTCTACTGCTCCTAGCTCACCACTGAACCCCAGACCGTAGAAGGCCAGTCCTCCAAGACCAAGGACTGCAGCTCCAGCTAGAGCACCCTGTCCTAAAAATACATTTAATTAAAACACTAATATAAAATAATGTGTTTCTATGCTCTCAACCCCTACCACTGCACTTGGTATTGTTTACTGATATAAGATAAATTTGAAAATATTCTAGTATTGATCAAAAAGAACAGAGAAAATTAACATTAGCGGAATCTGCGGAATAAATTAATCAGGAAAAGCACATATTCCGCAGGTTGGGCGCAGGGGTATAGGAAACTTTATAGTTGCACCATGACTCTTCAAGTACAGATAAAACAAAATCCCAAAATTCAACTTCCATTTTTGTTTGTTATAAATCTAAAATTATATGATATATCTTTGATGATTTCATTAATTTATGATAATAAGGGAAGAAAATAAATTTAAGGATTAGGAATAAGTTTTAACATCAATTACCTGCGGATATAGCAGAACCAGATGCAGGAGCTGTTGCAGTCTCTTTAAGAGTTTTTCTTCTAGCGGCTTGACGGGAGAACGCCCCCCTGGCATCCTGGCTGTAGACACGGAGCTGGCCCGCCCCAATTCCCTGCCTGAGCAGGCCGCCACTGTTCCTAATGTAGGATATCATTATTTAACGATTATTTAGAATAAGGTTTCGATATTTAGAGGTGAAATTAGGGCATACAACTTCCAAACAACAGAATTGCATTCTAAAATATTTTTCGTAAAGGGTGTCCCAAATCATTTCGGATCGATTATGGCTCTACATTACGATATTTGGAACTATCAGTAAATTTATGAAGAAATAATCGTTTTTAAATAGTTTATAAGCCTATTATGACAATTTGCATGCAGAAAACATTCGCTTTTTCGAGTATTATGTGCGTGTTTCAGCGTCAAATCTAGGGGATAATCCTATATGATATGGGACGCTCTGTATATAAGCTTGCCGTGATTTTAAATCCTGAGTTCAAAACCTTAGCGTTGAGAAATTGACCAACGAATCTTGTATGTAACCCGGGTCTGTCCTAGTATACGATTTTTGGCCCCCCCCCCCCCCTCCTATCAATTTTGAACATGACCATTTATTTTTCAGCAAATTTATTATTATTTATTTTTTTGTTATTTAGGGTTAGGTTAGGTTAAGGAAAGGCCGAGCGCTGCGGCCACACTTTCTGGGCCGAGCGCTGCGGCTAGGATGGGCTAGGGGGCCGAGCGCTGCGGCCACACTTTCTGGGCCGAGCGCTGCGGCTAGGATGGGCTAGGGGGCCGAGCGCTGCGGCCACGGGTTTGGTTAAGTTAAGACACTTCCTGTCAGACCCATGTACAAAATTGATAGGAGGGGGGGGGGGGTCCAAAAATCGTATACTAGGAAATTACCTAAAACCCTTTATCTAATAACACGAATTCTCTAAAATCACAATGTGGGGGAAAATGGTAAATCACGATTAAAAATTACAATGAAATACATCTAAATAAACGAAGGGACATTTGATAAAAGTTGAGGTTTTAAATTATCAAAATATTTACCTCATAGCACCGCACAATCTTGCAGCAAGCATTTTAATAACTTCTTTGGTTCGTATCTAATTCTCAACTGGGCTTATGGTTTCTGAGAGAATATGATGAAATTCTACTAGAAACTGCAGTTATGCAAGAGTATATTTACGCAGCTTTAATTCCTGTCCTGGAAAACTCTGGAACGGCTGTACAATGTTTGGTTTGGAAGACAATGTCGTCTTCGCACATTTCGTCAATATAATTTTGAGGATTTGTTTTCAGTTACAGTTTCTGAAAAAAAACATTTTTCAACTTATTTCTGCGTACATGACGAGAATTTTGTACATTACAGCACGATAAGCAAATATTGTGCACATCTCTAAAAATGGACTCAACAGAGACTAATTTACTAATTTAGATACAAAATTCTGCAATCCAAGAAAATATGTTTTGAATATTTCCGAGATAACAAATATTCCGAAACACGATCTACAATTATAGCATCTAGTTTAAAATGCAAACAAAAAAACACATCTTATTGTCAGTTTTACAATTACATATCCAAGTAATTTGGACATATAGTGCCATCACGTTGTTGACTAGCTAAGTAGCTTCAATACACCGTACAGCAAACTGAAACATAATCAAGACTGTTTCTATCTGAGCTGATATCTGGCCAGTGTTACTGAACCCCAAAGATTAAGCACCAACAGCGCACGTCCATCACTGAAAAAACGATTATTTTCAGCTTACATTTACAAAATACCAGATATGAAATTAAAAGTGACATAATAAAGCTGAAGCCTGGACAAGCTTTGACCTCAAACATTACAAGATTTTTTGTATAAAAATCATGCACCAATGAAAAAAAAATGCATGTACGAAGAAAAAATGGTTGACGGGGAAGTAATGAAGTATACATCAGAGAGTAAAATTATTACAATAAACAGAGATGCGCTCAGCTCTCGGTTTTCCGATTAAGTTACATGTACCTGGATAAACAGATACCACTAGGACGCTTAGTTGGAGGAGAGAGTTCCAGCTTACAAACAAACTTCAGCTCATTAGTATACAGAGCTAGCTTGTGGTTCCTTAACAGAACAGTTTATTATTATACAGGGCTAACTTTAAAGTTCCTTAAAGGAACAATTTGTTAGTATACAGAGCTAGCTGGTGGTTTCTTAACCTAACAATTTGTTATTTTCCAGAGCTAGCTTGTGGTTTCTTAACAGAACAATCTGTTAATATGCAGGTTAGCTTAATGTAGTTTCTTAACAGAACAATTCGATATTATACATGGATAGCTTGTAGTTTCTTAACAGAACAATTTGTTATTATACATGGCTAGCTTGTGGTTCCTTAACAGAACAATTTGTTATTATACATGGCTAGCTTGTGGTTCTTCACAAAACAATTTGTTAGAATACAAAGCTAGCGTGTGGTTCCCTAACAGAACAATTAGTTATTATACATGGCTAGCATGTGGTTTATGAACAGAACAATTTGTTATTATACATGGCTAGCTTGTGCTTTCTTAACAGTACAATTTGTTATTATACATGGCTAGCTTATGGTTTCTTAATAGAACAATTCGTTATTATACATGGCTAGCTTGTGCAGGTTTCTTAACAGAACAATTTGTTAGTATACAGAGCTAGCGTGTGGTTCCTTAACAAAACAGTTTGTTATTCTTAAGAGCTAGCTTGTGGTTCTTCACAAAACAATTTGTTAGGATACAAAGCTAGCTTGTGGTTCCTTAACAGAACAATTAGTTATTATACATGGCTAGCTTGTGGTTTCTGAACAGAACAATTTGTTATTATACATGGCTAGCTTGTGGTTCCTTAACAGAACAATTTGTTATTATACATGGCTAGCTTGGAGTTTCTTAACAGAACAATTTGTTATTATACATGGCTAGCTTGTGTTCCTTAACAGACAATTTGTTAGTATACAGAGCTAGCGTGTGGAAGGATAGCTTGTGGTTCCTTAACAGAACAGTTTGTTATTAAATAGAGGTAGGTTGTGGTTTCATAACAGAACGAATTATTTGATTTTTTTGTAATTATTGAACCAATGAAATAAACAAATGTTGTTTAAAAAAAAACTACTTGCTGTCAGCAACAATAAAGTTCCCGAAATCATCGACAGCAGTTCCTGCAGGATCATTGAAACAATCATCTCTAGGTCCTGGTTTACCCACACAATACATACGCTCACTTCTAAAAACAAAAGTATTTTAATCGATCTAGACATATCCAAATTGTTCAAAATTAATGATGTAAACTTAAAGTGGCTGAACGATATTAAAATTTTTAGTGGTATATAAAGCAAATTTTATCTAGGAGGTGAAACAGGCCTATTTAAGGCAGTGGGCCTGGACCCTTGGGCAGTCAATAAAGTTTTCAATTTTTTTCCTAGACCTAGGATTTAGGAAAAGTCTTTAACCCATAGTTTCTCAGCAATGTTAAAAACCCCAGCAGGGAGCAGGAATAGTGTTAAGCTTTTATTGAAAGTAAAAATAATCACTTGTGCATTAAAGGGAGAGACCGGCTAGACATGGAAGTTGAGCTGAAAGTGCAGTGTCATGGAGAAACTTTAGGATTTATTTGATACCAATAATACAATTTTCCGATGTTCTACTTTTAAATGAGAAAGTAAAGTAGTTCTTAATGTTTAACCAATTGTTTCAGTCAGCAGAAGAAACGTTTTTAACAATGACTTAATAACACAGACAAAACATGTAAAAAATTGTCTTGTAGACTAATTTGGAACATATTTCTTAGAAAAACATTATCGATGAATAGTAGAACCGTAGAATTGATCAGTTTATTATCATCACTACCTTTGCTGTTTATATAATTGTATTCGCAGATTTCTTCAATAGCTGAAAGACTTTGCATTTTTGATATCTTATTTTGAATAATATAAGTTCGTTATTTTTCTAAACTTGTTTGTATATATGTAACTAGCTTGTAGAATAGTATTTGTTACATGTTTTGTCAACGTTATTTAAGAATTGTAAAAAAATGTTTCTTCTGCTGGCTTTTAACAACAGGTAACATATAACAACTGACTTTACTCTCTTTTTTGTAGACCATAAAATTTTCTCAATTGTATCAAATTAATTTCTAAAGTTTATTTTTACAATACTGCACCTTCATCGTTGAGATGATTAAAGCCGGTCTCTCCCTTTAAAGATTTATTTTTATCAAAGTTGTCACACTTACATCTCCTCAATGATGTAGACCCTGTTTAGTCCTAAATCAGTTACGTAGAACCTGCCATTCCTACTGGAGAGGAATCTACACTTCGAGTTACCAATATCCTACAAGATTTAGTAAAATTATAGAACTAAAAAAAAAAGGTTACTTCTCGGAAAGCTTTCCCATTTAAGCAAAGGTTGAGTCACAACAATAAACATTTAGCCGATTTCCTGAATTTACCTAAGAATTGCGGTGCGAGGTTAAAAACCGCCTGAGATAATATTTATCATATATATTCTTTGCTTGTCTGGGTATTTGTTTGTTTGTAACCAAAAAAAAGTCAAAACACTGAACGAATCGGGTCAATTTTTTGTGGGCCTCACATAATCCCATCATGGGAAGGTTTATGGATGCTCAAAATTACAAAAACGTTGTCTCCGAAAGTTTTGATGCTTCGTAAAATTTAGAAAATTCACGAAAAAATATTATTAAATCCGCGAACTTTCTTTGTTTTAGTTTTATATTGCATAAAGAGAAGATGCTCAATGCTCACAAATAGAGCCACAATTAAAAGTTGAAAAAGTAGGTGAATTTTTGAATATAAAAACATAAACATTGCAAACAATTAACCCTGAATTCCTTTTAAACTTACTTGTCGAGCCAGGTACAGGTGTATTCTTCTCTCTATTAATCCAGTTCCAGTGTTGACACAGACAAGACAGGTTTCAAATATCCCTCGACCTATAATATCTTCAATCCAGCTTCAGTGTTTAAATACAGACAGATGTCATGTATCCTTTCTTCTCTTCTTTAGAAATGGATAAATTTCAAAGATAAAATACAGATAGTACGCCTCTCAACTTCTAATGTTTAATGGCGCATCTTATTAGTGTCACAAATAAGCACGAAGAACTCTTAGCTTGATGCATTACTAAGAATTCAGTACATTAAAGGGACAGTAAGCGTAATTTTAAAAGACACTCTATGCAAAGATACTCCCGATCCTAAAAAATTTATCTGATCAATAATGCGGAAGGCCTAGTCTTTATACTAAGGTTAAAAGTGTAAAACTCTGAAAATTCCTATTTGTTTTTGAACAGTAGAAATAAGGTAACTTTAGTAGAGAATCCGCAATTGGAAATAATCAGTTTTCAAAATCATCAACAATGTATCTAATTCACTTGAACGGACAAAGATGTTAAGGATACTGTTGTGAATCTGACATTGCCATCTTTGCAAGGTGTCACTTGAAATTACTATTACAGATCCTATGAGAACGAATTTTTACAAGAATACCATGTATTAATCTGATCAAAGTTGAATAATTTTATGATTAATTGTTACCTCGGGTTTCTTGAATGATGACTATCCGACCTACTCTATCTTCTCCCAAACCGTAATACCTGGCATTTAATAAACTTGACGTTTAATTTTTTTATTCCAGTTGATAACTAATGGGGAGCTTTGAGCACACTTTGAGTGTTAATCAGTCGGAAGATTTGAGTACGCATAAAGTGTTAATTAGTATGGAGCTTTGAGTACAATTAAAATTGTTAATTAGTTGGGAGCTTTGAGTACCCTTTAAGTGTTAATCAGTTGGGATGTTTGAGTACGCTTGAAGTGTTAATTATTTAAGAGCTTTGAATACGCTTGAAGTGTTAATTAGTGAGAAACTAAGTGTTAATTAGTGGGGAGCTTTGAGTACACTTGAAGTGTTAACAAGTTGGGAGCTTTGAGTAGACTTGAAGTGTTTATTAGTGGGAAGTTAAGTGTTAATTAGTGATGGAGCTTTGATTATACTTTAAAGTATTAATTAGTTGGGAGCTTTGAGTACGCTTAGAATGTTAATTAGTTGGGTGCTTTTAGTACGCTTAAAGTATTAATTTTGTAGGGAGCTTTGAGTACACCTAAAGTGTTAATTAGTGGGGAGCTTTGAGTACGCTTGAAAGTTTTAATTAGTGGGGAGCTTTGACTAGGTTTAAAGTGTTAATTTGGGGGGAGCTTTAAGTACACTTTAAGTTTAAATTAGTGGGGAGCTTTGAGTACACTTTAAGTTTAAATTAGTGGGGAGCTTTGAGTACACTTTAAGTTTAAATTAGTGGGGAGGTTTGAGTAGGCTTAAAGTGTTAATTAGTTGGGAGCTTTGAGAACGCTTAACGTGTTAATTTGTGGGGAGCTTTGAAAAGGCTTTTAAGTGTTATAAGTGTGGAGCTTAGAGTTGATTTCTGACAATAAGTTGAAACTTGAAACTTTTGGATGAAGCTGATAGGTTCAGATAAGCCCTCTCTCTATTGTTAAGGGTACATAGAGTTTAATAATATTAAGGTATGACAAACAGTTGAACCCAATTAAACTGAAATTTTATCAATTTCAGAGGTACGAACAAGCTCAGAGCCTCAGACTAAGTCAGATGAGCTTATTTTATGGATGCATTTTTTATTTCATCCCCAGAAGCCTGGGTTGGATATAAAATTAAAATCACCTCGAATCTGGAGATAAATCAAAGTACCCAGATATTTCCCCGTTCATGTAGAAACCCTGCACCCTGAGTTTAAAAAAAAAATTAACATAAAACAATAAAATTTTAAATAAATAGGACTACTCGGATCTACTTAAAATTTGATTAGAAATGAATCCGGATCAAAGCAGAAAAACTATTGTCTCATATTCACTGAAACTTAAATAATTTTCCAAAATATACATTCTTGTTTTGAGTAAGAGAAAGGAATTAAGTCTTTGCTACAAATAAAATTTTCTATTTTCCCATATCTTTGAAACCTGATGGTGTAAACCATATATGATATTTCAAACTTGGATTATTTTGATCAAACATTATCAACTGTTTAAACTTATTAAGGTCTACGGCATTGAATTGCAAAGATAAATAGAAAATCAGAGTTTGCAGCAAAGACTAACTTCATTAGTAAAATATAAGACAATTAATACAAGCTAAAATATAAATCCTGATGGGATTTGTATTTTTGAGGATTGATCCAGGATTCGGATCCGCATTAAAGGTGAATGGATCCTAAGATGGAGTTTAAAGAATTTGAGCCGCGGTTTAAATCTGCCAAAACCCGGTTTAAATTAAGCGCAGGCTTAAATCTTGAAACATTTGATACAATTTTAAGTGGAACCAACCATATTTAAGCCGCGGCTTAGATTTGAACCGCAGCTCAAATTCTTTAAATTCGGCCACTGGTTAAATAAAAATGTTACCTCAAATCATCGAGAATTGCAAAACCACCATTACTTAAAGACAAGCAGGCGGAGGGCTTGAGAAACGGAAACTGAAAATATTTTATCCATCATTAAGCAGGCTAAATATCATTGATTCTTTCCGACAGTTTTTTTGCCACATATTATTTAATGTCCACTCAAACTAAATTCAAAAACATCAAAACTAACATTTTTACTAGCAATTTTGTTTATTCTTAAGCATATCTCAAAAACGTCACACACATTTATGACCTAGAATTTTTCGGGATTTTAAGGTTTTAAATAAGAAAAAAGGAGTGTACAGTTTTGAGATATATTTTACTCATTGTTACTCAGATAAGAGGTTTAGAGGGTACCATGGTTAACTAGACATTCCCAACGTAAAATTGATGAGGGCATATGAACATATTATTCTGACCTGTGGTTGAACCTCCATCCTGAGCTTGTTCTCCATGTTGAACATGTGAACCTTGTACGGTTTCTCCATCGTCTCAGCGCATACAATGGTGTTGTCCATCAGCTCACACACTCCAATACACCTTCACAGGAAACAATTGTACAATAGTTAGAGATGTCCATTTTACATTAGTTCCGAGGTCATTTAGAAAAATATCGAAAATTCTGAATTATAAAACATTTATTTGCCTCAAACTATTTTTTGTCACCGGTTGTTTGTAGGTTTACTAAAAATAAAACTCAAGACATTAACATACAAACCTTTTCACAATATTGTTCTCCAGTACAGAGCTAGCCTTCAAACTCGGCTTGTTGCCTCTCAAAAGCCCAATGAATGACAACTGCATCTCTAATCAAGACATTATCAAAAAAAAGTTTTCATATATTCAAATAGCTGAATAATGACTACTTTAATGTCCCAAGTTCCCAAAAATAAGCTCAAAATGATAAACTTGTGTAAAATACCTATGAATAAATCAATATTTGACCAAATGTCTCTCTGAAGTACTGAAATAGTTTAGAATATATTGAATTTTTTAAATTGAACTTTAATAAAATTTGGTAGATTTATCTGCCCTCCTCCCCCGGTGGTACCTAACCTACCTAACCTGAAATAGCATAATCACGAGCGGTTGCTTTTTTTCCAGCAGGAAGGGGGAGGGAGTTCAAGAGGAGGACAGACCTTAAACTAGGAATACCTGGAGATGTGTACTGAGTAGAACCTCTAGTTGAAACTGGAAACAATACTTTATCACGTAACTCAGATTCTGTTACTATGAAGATCTTCTCTTTGGTTTCAGGATCTCTACAGATCTTAACTATGGGCTGAGCTAAGACTTCTTCCATAATCTTAGGGTTTAGTTCTTCTCTCTTGGTGGGACAAGTTTGATCTTCGAAGGTCATCTTATTCAAGAGTTTATCCAGATCCTCGATATTTTGCTCAGATGATGTGTTCGTGATACTAGGACCAAAATTATTGAATAGTGATACGTAGTTGAACTACATGGACTAGAAGGAACCAATTCTCCTGAGAGGTGGTTAAACTTAGTCTACGTAGTTCAAATAAATACTTTTCGTTATTGCTTTAATTTGGTTCCTAGAGAGAGGTCTCCTCAGCGTCTTCTTCTTCATTCCTTCCATGTATCCTGTAGACTTCACTGGACTCATGAACTTTACAAATATAAATACATCTAAATTAAGTTAACATCTTAACTACCAAATTTTTAAGTTTTCAAAAATACAGAGTTGCACAAAAAAGAATATGACTTTAGAGATGACTGTACGGAATTTATTCCGTCTTTTTCTTATATTGTTTCATTCCCTGCATCATTCAGTTTACCTTTTTCTTTCTATGCTTAATATAAGTACAAGACAGAAACTAAGTTCAATCTTGATAGATCACTAAGATTAAAGGTTCCATAAGGCATTAATCATGTATACAAATTGAAAAACTCGTAAATTTTAGAAAAGGGCGAACTTTAAAAGCGGTAAAATCAATAAAATCTGTTAATCAACTTACAGCAGTCTCTCCTCCTTCTTTGGTAACTGGAATAACAAGATCAAGAGAATTTTGTGTGTCTAGACGAACCTCCACCGCTGGACTCGGTTTCCTGTTTACTTTCTCTTCAACAAGGATAGGAACATCGGGTTTAATCGGAATGGGAACGCTTATCCGTGACCCTTTGGCAGGAATGATTAGTGGACTTCCTCTAATATTCTTCCCGAAGAGGAGCACAGTGACAGTGTAGATGGTGAACTCATCCAGGAGGATCTCCAGCTTCATGGTTAGCTTGTCAGCACTTAAACTTAACTGTAATATAGAGTGGGAAACCTGATCTTTTCCCAACTTTTTCCTAAACAGAAATGTCAAATATTTAAAAAAATAGATCTAAGCTGGGAACTAGTGTTGGATACCCATAATCTCAATCGCTTTATCTCGATATCCAATCTGGGCTTTATCTCTATATTTCAGTTATTCCTTCAGGATACAATTACGCTACAGATATCAAATAAAGATCAAATTAATCTGCAGATTATCAGTAGTTCCAAATTCTGTTAATGTAGAATTTCTATTTTCTTGTTGAATCTGATAAGAGTTCCAACAATAATTCATGAAATAATTCCGTTGAATCTACAAATATTCCGTTACAAGAGCAAACCCAGGGATTATCTATTAATACCTAACCTAACCAAAATATAGTATTATCAGGGGGAAATATTACTTTTACTGGGATCAGGAAGAACTAAAATAGGTGCAGGGGGCTAAATCCCTCATTTTAATTTCAGTCATAACCAACAGAGCCCATTCAATATTGAAGTGGTTAATTATTTATCAACATATATACTTAAACCCTATGTAAAAGACCCGTACCTGATAGTGAACTTCATGTTTTCTTCAACCATTGAGCAGATGGGTTCCTTGGTTTTAATTTTAAAGCACAAGATATCCCCTAGCTTGATAGTAGTGAGAGAAGTCAACAAAACCAGGCTTAAATCAGTCTCCTTACCCTTGCAAACCTAAGCGTGAAAATATTAAACAAGATTAGAAACATAACAAAAAGATGACATGCACTTTATAGTTGGTAATTTAGGTATTATGACACCTAACATTTACAAAAAAATTACGATAATTTGTGAATGCTTACTTTAAAAAGTTCATGATCTAATATCTAGTAATTTCCTAAAAAAGATTTTTGGACCCCCCCCACCCTTATAAAAAATTGTAAATGGCCAAAGAATGACTTGGCCGCAGCGCCCGATCCCCAATCCTGTCCTCATCGCGGCCGGCTCATAACTTGTCTTAGCCTAATATAATCGTCGCGGCCTTCGTTAAAGAATACATCAAGATTATTTCATCTCGTTTAAGAATTCCATTATTACATTTTTTTCCTCATAAAATTAATATTAATGTTTTTATATTTCACTAAGTTTATTAGATGGAGAGAAGGTAGAAAATAGTAATGGGTTGTCTCATCCTACTGGCCAAAAGCATGAGATCATTTACAGAAGAAATCAGTTGCTGGATATAATATCCTAAATCTTCCAAAATGAGGAGAGAAAGGCAGGTTATCTAGCAAGAACCAGTTCAAGAAATGAAATGATGAAGATGAATCAAGATTTATTGCTTTGTTTTCATTGCTAAGAAATAAGAAATAATTATAAGATCTGAAAAGGAACCCGACATGGAACCCCCAGACCGCCCTCAGGGTGCAGAGCATCAATATGCAGTCTGCAGCCTGGAATCCATCCGGGCTATCACACAATGTTTAACGCCCGTGTGATAGTGATACACTCCTAGTGGCTGGCAGCCCAGAAGGCCAGTTGCTTATCAAGCAACTCCCCATAATGGTAACCCCAGTGCAGGCCACTTGGATGAGGCCAGCCAGTCTACCTGAGTGTTAGAGAGAAGAGACCTGCTGGAACCAGGACTCCAACACTTGCTTGAGTGTAGCAGCTTGCTGGTTGAGTGCTCCAACATCGACACCATCCCCGCCTACATACGCCCGGAGCACCCTGGACTGGAGGAAACCTCCACCAAGAGCGTACGCATCGACGTAGGCCTGAAGGCCTGGGACCCTTCTGACATAGGCAGAAGCAACAGATGAACCATTTTGGAGACAGAACGGACACAGTTTGTAAGATTTGCCGAAGTCGTCAGGGCGTCTATTACCCAAACCAACATCCCCTGCACGGACTCTGCATAGTAGCCATGACAACGGTAAGTCAGTCACATGAGGCTGAAGTTTGAACCAAAAGGTTGGCAGAGGCATGTATCTCAGGGAGACGTGCTCACGCTTCTTGGCAATCACTGTCTGAATGGCCGCCTGGAGTATGGTCCTTCAGACCATGGACCTTGGCTTAAGGAAAAGACCACTCCCTGCCGGGTCTAGGTCTTGGACTGATTTTGCCCAAGGGTCCTCTCCAGACCTCATGACCGAGGCGAACACACTAGTTAATAATGGGTCCCTCCGCTTGTTCACAATCGTCCACACGTACAGGCCGATCCGCTCCTTGATACACTCACCCATGGGTTTAAGGCCAGCATCAATATCCAGCGACACCTGATGCGGATGAAGGGAGCTGGAGAATAAACCTGGCCACCTGGCCTTGGATTCGTTCCAGGGCCCCCACTGTCGTGGCTGAGATGATCATGGCCTCAGTACCGTACAGGACTGCAGGGATGGCGCACCACTCCCAAAACTTGCTATCAGGGTTCTGTCCAGACCTGACCGGGTTAACCCAATTATGGTATGAGCATAGGATCTTGCCACCGTTATCATCCTCTCCTCCCTAGCCTTAACCAAATTTCGTCCTTTCACTTGGATATCGACCCCCAGGTACTTCCCGACCAGGAGAGCCTCGACCTCCGGCTAAGGAGTGCTAAGACCCCACAAAAAGTTTGTGACACTAATATTTCAATGACTTGTTTCCATAAACTATGATTATGGTACCAATTCCACTACTCGAGTCCCGAGCTATGCGAGATATTTTGACTGCTGGGGTACTTCAAAGCCAGTTTTAGCTGTAATGTGGGGGGGCAAATCGACCCCCATCACCTCTTAATTCTGTCTATTTTGTCCTAATATTACAACTGAATGTGGAATTTTGGAAAAGCTCTTTTCCAGTTATAAAGTGAAAAAGCAGTTGATTGAAATTGTGAAAAACATGATAACCTTTTCATTTAAGCTCTGACTGTTCTATTACAAATATGCAAAATCTTACAACACTTGGTTTGCAATAACGAAAAACTAATTTTTTTTGAATAAATTGAAAAATTTGAACAGTTTGATGAATATGTCTAATATAAGGCTTACAGCAATGTCCATATTTTTTTAGGAAAGGTCGGAAAATTTGAACATCCTCTGAATCATTTCTAAAATGAGATATGTTAATTAAACATAGGGGAAGTCTAGGTCAAGATTTAATTGGAAATTTCTGAATAATTAGGTAGAAAACTATACAAGGGAATTGGGGGGAGGGGGGGGGCTTTCTCACAGAACGATTTTAAGACCCACCCCCCATATCGATTTAGTACATGACCAAGATTTCAACTAATTTTTAAGTAACAAAATTCAGATTTATTTAGTATTCTTCAGGGTTAGGAGGTTCAGGGGGTCCGAATGCTGCAACGAGATCAGTCTGGGGGCCTAGTGCTTATAGGGAGCCGGGCGCTACGGCAACATGTCCAACTTTTTTATATGGGGGGTAATGAAATGAAAAAATCTAATTATAAATATGAAATAATAATTACGATCTATAAAATTATAAAAATTCTTCTTCACCAATATTCTAACCTTTCCAAATTGACCCTCATCGTGTGCAGATGTATCACAGGTCATAATTCTCAGCAACAAGTTAGATCAAAGTCCATCAATTATTTCTGAAAAGATTGGTGGTGGTCAATGTTTAAACACACTATACATGTGTTTAGAAACTACAAAATTTCGTGGGACTAAAATAATTTCCAGGCCGAAACATTTTTGTTGATAAAATATCTGATAACTATTTACTGGTTAAATACATGGGTTACCCACAGTTTGAGATTTCTGGTACGACTGTACGGAATTTACTCAGTCTTTATTATTTCAAAATCGGTTTCCTGCAACTTATAAATTGTTTGCTTTTTTGCCAAATCATTAAATACATCTCTTAAAAACGCATTCCAAAAACAAAATTTAGCCTTCAAATCGTTAAGTCGGTGCTAAAGATCGTCATTAAACTATCAACGTTTCTCGTCGACTGTTGATGCATCCATGAGCTGCTTTCGCGATATTTTTATAATTATAAAAAATAGAGGATGCAAATTGGATAGTTTTAGAAAAGTTTATATGTGACAATGAACTTCCAAAAATCGTTCACTAGGACAGACCCACTTTTTCTCTAAGTCTTACTCGAAACATCAAATTCAAATTCAAAACCCGAGGCCGAATAGAAGCTGTGTCTACAAGCGTACAAGTGTACAGAGTACAAAGAAAAAAAATTGTGTACACAAGACTCAGGGGCGCATTAACCTTTCCTGGGGAACCTAGCTTGCTCTGCTCTGTTTGGAAAATAGATTAGCAATATGCAGAGCTGAAAAATTTAGAATGTGATATCCTTAATCCCGATCTGTTAATTAATCTGGAGATTAAAATCATGAGAACAAGCAATATTTAATCTGGAGATTAAGAAAAAGAGTGGATCAAGCATTAATCCCGATATCCACCATTCAAAAGTTCCCAGCTCTGGCAATAATTTTTTTTAGCTCAGAAACGTATTTTAAATATCTAAAAACGCGTTTCTTTCATTCACTAGCTCGTTATATAGGCATATATATTATGGCAAAGCGGCTGGACCAAATTGGCCATGATGCAGTTTTTCAGGCCGAGGGAACCAATATAAGCCAGAACGATAATGTTTTTACCATTTATTCTGCATGTAATGTTCATGGAATCTGCTGGAGTTTATCCCGCATATATATTCTCAAAAATTGAAATTAGTATTTGGTAATTTTTTTTGTAGTTTCATTTGGAAGAGGTACGATGCACATTATATGTAATTGTTTGAGCCTGCAGCTAGAATTGGCTCATAATCTGCTGATTTTTATTTTTTCCATAGCTTTAAAATTTTATTGTAAAATAAACATAAAACAAATCATGTTTCTNAATTTTGTCCTTTTTTTAAAGATTAGAATTACATAGACAAACTTATTCCAAAGTTTTGCAGAGTAGCTTTTCCAAAGATTTAAAAAAGAAGCATAGCTTTACCTCCTAGAGTAAAATTATTTTATATCTTGTTATAGTATGTATTTAACAGTATTAACAGAATAAAATAAATCAAGTTTTTTTTACAGATCTTTAGTTAACGTAAAATGAATGACTATAATAACGAAGGATATAAAACTAAGTAAAAGTTGAAAGGTATGAAATGAAGCCGTTAAATTTGTATAGTTTTTGTTAATACCTGTAAAGTGTAAACCCCGATGTCGTAAATCTTTCATATCTCAAACTATGATTTCTATTAACTATGATAAAGTCTAAGTTTGAAATCAGGTTCCAAAGAAATAGGGATTCGAAAATTTGAGTTTGAGGCAAAAACTTAGTTCCTTTCTTGAAAAATCTTTCACCCTTTCAAAAATAATTTTCCCCCAGAAATTAGAAATCTTCGCAAAAAATGCTGAGTTGGGGTTTATGCTGATATTTAGGAATGAATTGCCAGGTTTTCCAACGCAAGAGGATTTTACTTGCACGCAATTCGAGAACAGTTGCGCGCTATTCCGCGCAACGGAATTCCGACTGAAAATCCTAAATTTGTAGTAAAAAGGATAAAAACATGCCTTTTGATATGAAGTTTTTTTTTACCCAGTTAATAAAAAAATAGTTTTTTCCTGCAGAAGTTAGGATTGTATGCGCGGAATATCTAACAATTTCAAGGGATATAACTGCTGAATTTTTTGGTTTATAAGGATGTCCAATTTTTCTTTTTTTTGTTGTGCTTGTTTGCGCGAAGCGCCATACAAATTTTCAGGGTTCTACTTGCTGATTTAAAAAAATATTAAAAAGGATTTTATTAGGTAATAAATTTCACAGAAAAATATTAGATTTGATTTATATGAGGTATTATCATAACAAATGATGTTGAACAGGGCGAATCACATGGTTTCCACAATCTTCATAGCTTTACTGCACTCGCCAAAGTACATGCTTGATAAATTACTTATTAAATTTTGTTTAAAGTCCAATAATACAATTTTCGAGCGTACACACACATTTTTTAACACATGCCTCAAGATTTAGCAGAGTTAAATGCTGAAGTATCAAAGTTCTACATCAAGTTGCAAAATTATAAAAATAGAAAAATCTAATAAATTGAGGAAAACGTGTTCAGTAATTCTTTCTGAAATAAGTTTGTCATCCAATCCAATATGATATGAATTGTGGAATGTGGATCGCCATTAACCAAAAACAAATCGGATAATAATCATAATTGGCAGGAAAAGTGAAATCTTTACAAAAATATTTATGTTTATGAACAGTTTAATAACGTTGATGAATCAGAAAACATAAATTTTGCTATAATATATTTTTTTTATTTTAACTCTTAGTTATGCGATTTTAATAGTTGAAAGTTGGCACAATAGAATATTCCATAAATACAAGATAGGTCAACACAACAAATTATTTGATTGAAGGATACAAAAAAAAACATTCATGGTTTGATATTTAATCAAATGGTTCCAGGTTAAATACAAAACAAATTCACAATCAATGTATCACAAATTATAAAAAAAACATGGATAACTTTAAGTTCTATGGAATAATTACAGAATTGCTAAATAGTAAATACCAAGTTTGTTGTTTCATCCTGCATAATACAGGCGATATTTAGAACAAGAAGATATGCATAAAAGTGGGGTTCAAGGAATGTTCGTTTTTAATGTTTACTGATGATTATTGATTGTAACAGATTAAGTGCATAGTTTTGATTACTTAATAATTTTATCAACCAAGTCCAATGTGCACTTAATTAGTACATGTAACGTTGTACACAGTACACTGTATAGTTTTAACAAAGGGATAACAATTTAAATTAATTTTTAAATTTTCCCGTTATCCCATGTTAATAATATTCTCCGTCTACTTGTGGGCTCCCATGGCCACCCCGATGAAGTCCTCGTACTGGAAGCTAGCCTGCCCTCTCTGCTCGGTATCACGACCCCGGAAAGAATCTATAAACATTTCTTTGATAAAAACAGACAATATTGAAGGGAAATGTCGCTACCCTACTCCTCCAGTAAGGTAAAGGTAGACACGAATGCCCGGCCATTGCTCAACCTGAAGTCGATCTCTAATTGAAATCTTGAAAAAAGGCCAGATCCAAAAAATGTAACTATGCAACATTATCTTCGAGTAGATTGCTTATAAAAATTTTCTTTTATGCTAAGGTATAAAAGACCATTTCATATTCAACCTGTTTATCAGGATTTTCAGGACACCCATCAAAATATGTACTAATAAATAACTGTTTAACTCTTATCTAAGATGAATTGTAATATTGTAATTTGTAAAATATTTAACTTTAATAAATCTACTTTTAGAATGAAAATTCTTGATTTATTTGTCAAAATTAGAAGATCACACTTTTCGCTAAATTCTACAATAATTTTTTTTTAGTATATTTTATTACTTTTTAAGTTAAGAATTTCCGACCTGTAAGTCTCTTAATCTGAACACAGGATACAATAAAGTTGTCCAGTGTCAATCTTCTTCCTAAAAATGGATCATTGTTGTTTAAAAAATACATTTTTAAAGTTAAATAGATATTTTATTTTTATATTGAAAACCTAGTTGACTTTACAGTTTACACCCGGCCTTATTTTGAAGTATGGATTTTTATGAATTATGTCAAAACCAGTATTTCCGAGGATTCTAGAATATTCCTGTTTAACAGTTTAAACTCAATTAATTTTAAGGTTCCACATTAGGGTGACCCAAATCGCCCTTAAAAAGTAAATAATTAGCACACAGGCCCAAGTTGTTCCATGTACATATAAATGTTCCTAAAAAAAAATTCAAATGTCTAAGAAGTCTACATGTAAAAATCGAAATATTGCTGAATAAATATCCCTCGTTTCACCGCAAAAGGGTGCTCGCCATAATAATTTTGATAATCATTTTTTTCCCCCACAAGTAAGGTTTATTGGCGCGGACCGCAAAATTTTTATTAGACGGTTTTATTTGCTGATTTGGGAAAAATACATACATTTTTGGGTAGAAACCAGCAGAAGAACTTGCCTATGGATGTCCCAGTTTTCATTTCGTTTCCCCAAATCATCAAAAATTACTCCCCCCCCCCCCCCCCCTTCCCTGCAGGGAGTGGGGGGGGGGGGTTAGAAATTAAGAATTAACTATAAAATATTAGGTTTTCATCTTGTTACCTCTTGGATCGTATTTATTAAGAAGGTTTCCAATGAATGTGGGACTAAACCTGTATCCCATCTGTTCAAGCGCTGAAATATTAATATTATTAAAATTTAAACTTAAGCACTATGTATTCTCTTTAAAGGGACTGTATGCGTAATTTCAAGTGACCCTACATTTACCATTTATGTTCACAAAGGTTCCCTTTTAACCTTTAAACATTGTTATTCTCTAACGTAATGTTCAAACTGAAGAGTGAACGCTTGCGTTCAGTGTGAAATCAACTTAACTAACTTAAATATTTATCATCTTATGTCTATAAACGCCATTTTAAAAAATTTTAAAAAAAAACATTTTTTTTTTTCAATTTTATTTATTACCCTTAAAATCTTCTGATTAAAACTTAAAAAGATATCCTGGTTTTGCTATGTAAAATTATGTATTATTGTATTAATGCAGCAAATTGGGCAGACAAACTAGGTGTAAAGGGTACCTTTGTTAGGGCATGCAGAACTTTTATTTGGGGGTCACTTGATACCACGATAGAAACTGAGACTTGAGCTGGAAACTTTTAAATGGACAAAATGTGTTAATCTCATTCTTTCCTCGAATATAAACAATTATATTGGATGTATCTCCAATGTTTTTACCAGCAAGAGATCGTTCTATGTCGGTGTTAGGAAAGAATGAGTGAACTCAATTGGTTCAATTAAACGCTTGTTTAGGACTAATAAAAAAGCAACAAAACAAACCAACAACAAGTATCATGTTTTCCTTCTTACGAGTAGTGATAGGCTATATTTGCTTCCTTTAGTAAGTTTGAAATTAAAGATAAATAGCTCAAGGGCCCGGAATTGCCCGTGGAATAAAATTTGAAGAAAAACAATCTATTTTGTTAGCCTAAGTCACCCCCTAGCTACCCATGAGTGTCCACAAAATATTTCAGCCCATTCTGAGAAGTTTATCGTTTTTCCATAATACTTGTATATATTCAAATAAAACACAACTTTTATAGATTACAGGTTTGAATTGTTGGAGCCTTAACAAGTTCCAAGTGTTTGTGTGATGGCGTCCTTTTTAAAGTCCCAAAACCTCCATATATCTTGAAAAACAAACCAAGATTTTCCTATCATTACTTAAGAGACTGAAGTTGTAAAAATTGCGTAAATATTACTGTATTTTCTCCGTCCCAAGAAGGAAATCATGATCGAACATAAATAGATGCAAACGGAAGCAGTTTGGTACAAGATTACATACAAAGGAAGAGACCTTTTAGTTCCATTCATAGCTCTACTAGAACATTTTTCTTTTCTTTCTAAATAATGTTGTTTCGCATGAAAGAAAGTCATTACAGGTCGTCGTTAAAGTCTCTTTCTTTGTGTATAATCCTGTAGTTTGGTATTGAAGTGGAAGAAATTCTAAAATGAAGTCAACATATTATTCAACAATTTTGTATAAATATTACTACGGGAAAATGGTGGATTAAAACTACTTTAGTTTCTTTGTGATCATTCTCTAAAATAACAGATTGTTAAAATATATAGTCAGTTTGTTTTCAAAATTATCGAATTAAAATGAAAAACCCCAACATAAATCTGCAATTTGAATGTAGACAATGCACGATTGTAGAAAAAAAGTTTAATTACACCTGAGATCAAAATTTAAAGCCTTATTTTTGCGATATTCATATGACGGACTATAAATAAGCTGCTTCCTACCAATTTGTAAGGTTTTTTTTCTTTAAAATGTTTTTTTAGAATATAAAATTTTGTGTTAAACATTTTAAAAATAGATAAAAAAGCATCTAAGTTATATTACCATGTTTTATCCCCCCCCCCCTCTCTCTTGAACAAATCTCTAAATTAAACACAACTGTCTGAAGATCAGTGCCGCTGAATTATACCTTAAAACAAAACAAAACATCCATATATACGAGACATTTATAACCCAAAAACGAGACAAAAAACACGAAACGTGACGATATTCCCTAAAAACGAGACAATACTAAATACTAAAAGCGTAACAAAATACCCTCGACACTTGACACTTTCTCCTAAAAACGAGACAAAATAACCTCGACACGTGACACTTTGTCCTAATAACGAGACAAAATAACCTCGACACGTGACACGTTATCCTAAAAACGAGACAAAATACCCACCGGACAATCAACAAAATACCTTTCTTAAACTCTTTTTCCTCAATCTGTCCTGATCTATCCTTGTCTTCTGATTCATAAACTTCCTAATAATCCGCTCAAATTCTAGTCTAATACAAAGTACGATGGTACTGGACAGAAAAAAATCTTATTATTTGTGACGTTCCGAAAAATAAATGCGTATATCGTGGGTAACAGTTTTGTAGTTTGCAAGCATCCCCCCTTGCCCTATAATCTATTAGTTTTCTTATCTTTCCAAGAATGACAACGTCAATATTCTGAAAATAAACTTTATAAGGCTAAAAGTTGAAAGATTTCCTTCCACTTATTGATGTAAGTAAAGAGCTTGATGAACTCGTTTACATCAATAGTTCCGCTTCCGTTTGCATCAAACATCTCTAAACATTAACTTTATATACTTTACATTCATTAAACTCAAACTGCAGGATAGGTTTGGGGATCGTTTTCATCTCAGAAAACCTTATCCCATGGTTATCCCGGAGAAAACCCGATCCCTGGTTATCCTTGAGCAAACCTAATCCGAGTTTGAGGTTGGTTTACCCTGTCTGAGTTCCGGTTCTTCGATATATCCTGATCTATCTCCGTCTATTCTCTCAAATAATCCTTTCCAATCATTTATATACTTGAACAAGGATCCAAACTCATGGACGTTAATGTTTCCAGTTCTTTTCAGGTCAAACATATCTAGTCAAAAGTTTAAAATAAATTTCACATTAATTTCATGTTTACTTAATCCATTATAAATACATTTTTGATTAGAAGATGTTAAATTTATACTATTTGGTAACCCAATTGTGTATTCAAGTATATATTTGAATTTCAAATTGAGTAGGTCTTAAATCAAGTATCTAAGACTAACAGAACCCTCCAATAAATACAAATTTTTTAAAAACTTCTAAATCAACTTCCCTGTTAAATTTTAGCTTCCTTTTCATGTAAATTGAAATAATATTTTTTTTACTCTATGGAAATAAAAACTGAAAAATTGCTGGATCTAATATTAAGGAGGTATACTTTTTCTATAAAATGATCACACCCCAAAACAAATTATTTCCTCTTTTATCAATAAATATTAAGTTTACCCCTCTTCTACAAATTGACGTCTAAAGATTAGATAAGTTAATAACTGTGTCTATTATCAGAGGCGTATTCCGGGGGGTGGCTCTGGGGGCTAAGCCCTCCCTGAACCCCCTGAAATCTATTTATTTCAGGGGGTTTTCAGGCCAAACGGGTGCTGAGACCCCCCCCCCCCCTGTAAAGAAAACTAAATTTAAGCCCCCCCCTGGAAAAATTCCTGAATACGCCCGTATCTATTATACCGATCATCATTCTACAGGCCTCCTCGCTGAAGTTGCTCCAGTTCCCGTTGACAAGCGCCCTCTGCAGCTCACGTGCATCGATTTGTCCACTTCTACAATATATTCATCTAGTCTATGTTATCACTATTTATTGTACAGTTTGACTCATAAAACTTTGGATTATGAATACAACTTATATTGAAACTGATATTTATTTTATGTAGCGATAAAGTATAAGTTCTTGAAAATCAATTAGTTAAACATCTGTGTCTGTGAACACATATCACAGTTGCCGTGTTAAATGTTCATTGGACTGTGAGAAACCAAAACTGATCCAAAAATAAAAATTCGTATTTATACATTTCTTCAATTGCGAGTGGAAGTAATTAAAGGGAAGAAAGGTTCGAAAACTTTGTTACATTATTTTCATTATTTTAAAGAAAAATTCTGTTAATAAAAATCCTACAACTCCAATTCTATTGGCTTTCTTCTTCAAATATATTTTCTAAAACTATGAACATTCCTTTTTCAATTTCTTGAAACAAAGCTTTCAAGTTGGAACGATAAATATTTTAAATGATAAGGATACAAGTGTACAGAATTATTCAAGACTAAATACTTATTTAAATAAGCATGATCTGGAGTTTTATTCAAAAAAAGTATCTTATAATTCAAGCACGCAAATAGATGAATGTATGTTTAACTACAAATTCTTTTTCAAGAGCGGTATATAATATTCTGAAGAATTATAAACATAGCCTAGAAGAATGAGAAGCAAAATGAATAGCACTTTAGCACTTTAATACTATTTTCCATATTCTGTAAACAAAAATACCTGTCTTGATCTACTGCATTGAACCATTGAGCGATTTGTGGATCTACTGGTGGTTGACCTCCATAACCAGGTTGACCTCCATATCCAGGTTGACCTCCATACCCTCCTGGCTGAGCTCCATACTGCTGACTAGGAGGAGCTCCTCCATATTGAGGGGGCGGAGCTCCTCCGTATTGCTGTTGTGGTGGGGCGCCAGGGTATGCCCCCCTTGGTGCTCCAGCTCCGGGATACGCTCCTCTAGGTGCTCCTGGGTATCCAGACATTATGTTTTTCGCTAAATCTGAAATAACTAAATATGGGAAACTTGAAGCAGTGAGAAAATTAATGGGAAGATGGCGTCGATATTCGTAGATGATATGACGTCTACTGCACAAATATGGAGGCTCAAAACTCCAATGATAACATATATACTTCCATCCTTATCTTTCAGCATTAAAACTTACATTATACTGAACTACGTGACGTGTTCCGGGGCCTTTACGTTTTCAATTAAAGCGTTAGAATAACATGACGCAATAACTGTTATCTTGTCAGTAGTCATCTCATGCAGTGCAGTAACTTCTAGAAGATTTAATCGTGTTGTATGTATTGGTTTGTGAGTCACCACTCTACTCTAGTCTAGTCTCTAGTCTCTACAGACTGCAGAGAGCAGACACTTAACAGCTGATTGAATATACTTGTTTTGGAGATCTGAGAGTTAGAGGCCGGTTCTAGAAAGATGACTCTTAAGAGTGGTATAAGAGCGGTATTAGCTAATACCACTCTTAACGCTAATACCAGTGTTTAGGAAATACGGATTCTTTAGACGCTAATGCTGCCTAATTCGGGGTAGGATTATCTAGCATAGAACAGCTGAAGAGTTCTTTAGTCATCCTAGCTAATACCGGTTTTATCATCCATTCTATAGAAATTTTCCTTTAATGCGCATGCTCGAGCACTTAACTCAGCAAGAATTTTTTAAATAATTGATGACGACTTTTAATGATATATTCTTTATTTATGATAAAAGATTAATAATTCATGCAAGTATTTAATAATACTGGTATATAAGGTAGATTATCCTACCTAAATCCACCCTGCGGCTGGATTTAGGTAACACCACTCTTTATAATACCGGTATCATGCATAATACCAGTATTTACACTTCTAAAGAACGCGTAAGGTAGATGATCTACCCTTAATACCACCAAGCAAGATTTGTAAAGAGTGGTATTTAGGTCTCTAGAACCCGGCTGATAGATGGATAGATTTACTAGGAATCAAAGACGACATATTTCCCCAAACTGGTTTTGTACAAAATTGTACTTTACATTTGTTTGTAAATAAAACACAGCTGTTCTGTTTCTGTAGTAGAAATGATCGAGTATGAACAAAGAGAATAGAATATGATAATTTTATGCGGCCTTCGTTAAAGAATACATCAAGATTATTTCATCGAGTTTAAGAATTCCATTATTACATTTTTATCCTCATAAGATTATTATTATATCATATTTGTGAGGTTCCATGGGCATATACCCAAGAAATTATACTAAAAATAATTCTGGTGTAATCCGACTATTTCAAGGTGGAATAGTTAACATTATGAAAGGTTACAAATAAGTTTTATGCTGTTGTTCTGACTGATCACTGTTTTTATTTTCTATTTTATAAGTATAAATTGGTTCTTAATTTGAAATTAATGCATGTGGTGTGATTGTTTTCTTAGTTTAGTTTGTTTGTTAACCAATTTCTGATGAATTTGCTTGTTTTTCAAGTTGATACTACATTTAGATACAGCATGTATAATGTGCCCTGAGTTTTTTTTAGGTGGGGAAAAGGTATTTTAGTGGGTTGTCTTAATCTATTGAATAAAATCTTGAAATCATTTAAAGAAGAAATCATTTCCTGGATATTAGATCCTAATTCTTCCAAAAAGAGGAGATAAAAGTAGGTTATCTGGTAAGAATCAGTTCGACATGAACTGATGAAGATCTTTGTCTTTTATTCATGAAGCAAGATTTACTGGTTTGTTTTCATGGCTATGGAGTGCTAAGACCCCACTAAAAGTTTTTTGTGACACTAGTATTTCAATGATAAGTTTTTATAAACTAACTTTTTCTGGTTTTGATTGTGGTTTCACCTCATCATCTCGAGCTATGCGAGATATTGTGACTGCTGACTCAGGCTGAGGTATTTTTAAAATTTTATAATAAAGTAAAAAAACAATTAATTGAAATTGTGAAGACATGACAAACCTTTCCATCAAATCTCTGACCGTACTATTACAAATATGCAGAGATTTGCAAAATCTCACCAAACTTGGTTTGGAATGAAGAAAACTAAAATAAAATTGAATAAAGTAGGCAGTCGAGCAGTATGCTTTGAGACTCTGTGTTTTCTATGAAAATGTCCAATGGAAGACTTAAAGTTTAAAGTTCATGGTTAATTTTTTTGGAAAGGTCAGAAAATGTCAATTAATCACAGGGGGTTCCACTCTTCTGTCAGGACTAAGGTTAGGATTCAAATGGATATTACTGAATTAAGATATATCAATACTTCAAAAAACGAAAAAGGTAAGTAAGCATGAAAAGGTAAGTGAGCATGTTTTACTAAAGTAAAAAAGGTAAGTTTGCATGTTATTTTTTAGTATATAAAGGTAAGTTTGCATGTATTAATATAAAAGAAAAAGGCGAGTTTGCCCTGTGCATGTTGTTAGTACAAAATAATTAAGTTAATTATCAATATTTCAATTTCCATTCTTACACGGTCTAAGCGTTAAAGAAAGAAAATTCTGCACCTACAGTGTAAGAATAAGCATTCTTAAACGCAAGGAAGCGAACAATATTAAAATTATTCCTCCTGAACCGTGTAATAATGGGAATTCTTTCATGATAGGTTTACTACTATGGAACCGAACAGATATGATATAATATATATTCTTTTCTCTTTGAGTATGAATCAGAATATTTTTTGCCTTATTGCTATCTTTGTAATCTACAGTTCAACTGAAGAAGTTTGTTCCCAAGGTGGCAATTCGTTCTTCAATTATTTTAATGAAATGAACCGATTAATTGTCGAACTGAAATTTGTTTTGTTTGATTTAATTATCTAATTTTTCTCCCACTTGTCACTAGGTGCAGTATTTATAGATTTTTGTATTAAGAGTATGGGACAGGGGCGTATTCAGGCATTTTTCCAGGGTAGCAGGAGTAGCAGGAGTAGCAGGAGTAGCAGGAGTAGCAGGAGTAGCAGGAGTATAGCAGGATTTAAATTAATTGAATGATATGAAACCCTGGGTTCATACAGAGATGAGAAAAAGAAGAAATATTCTTGACTACCTACCTAGGACAGAAGCAAAACTAAGGTTAGAACATGTTTATTTAATTAGCCATGAGAAAATATCAACATATATACAGGGTGTCCTGATAAGTATGAGAATTGAGTGGCGACTTCGAAAAATTTGCCTGAACTTAAATTTATTAAAATTACAAAACTTGAAAACTGAGAATATGTCAGTCAGTTCAAAAATAATGGTGGATCAAATCTTATAATTCTCAAAGTCGTGCATTAAATTATAATGTACATTGGGACACCCTGTTTCTGCAAATAATTAAATAGTCATACTGCAGACAGGGGCGTATTAAGGAATTTGTCCAGGGGGGGCGTAAATAAATTTTTTCTCTTTCCAGGGGAAGGGCTCAGCACCCGTTGGGATCTGAAAACCCCCTGAAATCAGTAGATTTCACTGGTCCAGGGGGGGGATTAGCCCCCATAGCCCCCCCCCCCCTGAATACGCCTCTGCATACAGAGTCCCTAACCATAATAGAAATGATCAGGGGTCAATACATAGCATTTTGGAATCTTCAATACAAGTGCTTTATCATAGACTATATGTGAAAATTCAAAAAACTTGTCTTTGAAAATATGTGCTAAAATATACACACAATTACGACATAAATAGGTTATTTGATCTTTTCACTTTGAGGACAGAAACTGAGCAAGAAATTTAAAAGGATTAATTGAGAGGAAAAACTAAGCAGTCTGGACGGATCAATAGGAGAAACTGAGTAAGGATGAATCTAAGCAAATACAAATTGGGAAAAGAAACTGATGAAGAATGAATATACATGAGAAACCGAGTAGTGACGGATCAAGAGGGAAACTGAGAAAGAATTTTTGAGAGAATAAACTGAGCAAGGAAGGATTGAGAGGAGAAACTAAGGTGTGAGCAAGAATGAATTGAGAAGAGAAACTTAGCAAGGATGAATTAAGGATGGGTTAGGAGGAGAAACAAAGATAGAATATATTTTTTTTTTTTAGTTCATTTTAAAGGTTTTTTTTATATGAACAACACATTTTAGTTAAAGATTTGATAAATCGGAATTTTTAGTTGGATCTATATAAAAGATCTACTGTTTCTTAAATTAAACACTCTTCTAACAAAAAGGATCGGCCTCAAATCGGAAATGTTAAACCGGCGACCCCTCTTAAAATTCAAATTTATATACAAGGGCACAAAGATGGTACTTTAAAATGAGGGTTTGGTGATGAAATAACCTATTTAGTATTCATGTAGTGATTTTGTGTATATTTTAGCACCTATTTTGAAGAAACAAGTTTTTTGGATTTGCACACCTAGTCTTTGATAAAGCACTTGTCTTGAGAATTCCAAAATGCTATGCCTTGACCCCTGATCATTTCTATGAAGTAAATCTGGTTAAGGAGGACTTTGTCAGTTTTGATTCAGAAAGTATTTTTCTTCAAAACAAATGAGTTATTCATCATTTCCTTGAATTTTTGAAAATAACAAAATTAACTTTTTAATAAATGAGACACAGACTTTAAATAAATGTAGTATATAATGACCTTCCAAATTGAGTTTTTAACCAGAACCTCTATCTACAGAATTTTTTTATCCTTTACTATTTTTTTATTTCTGTTCATGTATTTCTGTTATTTAATATTTTAACATAGTGTAAGTTGCCTAATGCCTATCCTTCCACCCCACCGGTCCTCTCTAATTCTATTTGTCGATCCCTTAGTTCATTTTCTTGCTCATTTACTGTATTATTCTGCAGTCCTTTCCTCTTCATCTCAGAAATGTTTTTTTAAAGAATTAATGTTAATTCTTTTCTCTTTTCTTTCTCAGTCTCACCCTAGGGAAATCAGGGTGAGTAAGTGTATATTGCGCATGAATTAGAATACTTAAAGAATATGAATATGAATAATAAATTGTTTTGTAATAAATATGATTTAGGACAAAGTTTGTTTATGAAGTTGAAAGAATCCAGGAGTTTGTAAGAAAGTATATCTATGTTAGAGAAAATGATCTGTCCAGGTATACACCTGGTGTACACTTGTATAATCAACTATTCAAACTTGTGATTGATGTTGGTGAAGTTACTTTTCTGGCCAGGGGGGGGGGGGAGGAGGTCTTCGTCCATCAATTTATCTGTATCACAAACTTCTGGTTGGACGGATGGATTTGAATTTTTCCCATTTTTTTTCTTGGTCATCTAAATTTTTCTTTCCCATCTCTTTATTCGTCTGTGCCCTTCTCAAATTGTTTCAACGTTCGGAGTTTCGACCAATGAATGGTCCATGACTGAAGTCCTTCAAAAGTCAAGATTTGAAAGGATTTAAAGGGATCAGATTTTTTATTTCTATAGCTAGCAAAACTCTTTAATTCACAACTTTTCATTAATTGAATTAAGCTAAAACTATATAACCATGATATCATATATATATACATGCAAACAAACAAATTACTACTTTATATATCTATAAATATTATTAAATCTTGGTTTTAATTTTTAATTCATTTAAATTTAATTCATTTAAATTATGATCTCCATTTGTCCAAGATAAATCTTGATTTCTGGTTTTAAATTGCGTAAAATTTATATTTAAAGTTACAAAAGTTTTTTAAATTATTATTTTACTTCTGTGACTTCCATTTGTTAACTTCCCACATTCATGAAAATTATAATTCCAATAAAAACCTTTAAAAAACATTTTCCCAGCGGTTTACATTGGAAGGAGAGTAAGGGGGGGGGGGTTGGATGTACATTTCACAGACCCTCTGAACCCTAAATCCATCCTGGTAAAAAATCTGATAAAATATGCTGAATTTAAGATTGATGTAAAATGGTTTAAACTTGGAAATTCAAAAGTTGATTTATTCCAGGTTTTTAGAAGATTTGACAGAGAAGAGTTGGTCAGGTTTATCTCCAGCTAACAGACAAAAAATGATAGTTTCAGGTAAATTAGAAAATTTAGAATGGTTTTTGATAAAATTTAATTGATTTAATTTAATTAATTGTTAATAATTGAATCTGCATTAACAAGGAATGGATCTGTATCAACAAGGACAAATGGGTCTACATCAACATCATGCTGGAAACGGATCATCAAAAAAATATGATTGTTTTTTAAAACATTTAGGTGTTCTGCAGCCCATACTGAAGATTTATCTTGCCCATAAAACCATGGAGAATATGATCACTGCGCTTGTAGGTCAGCTTACTATAAATGCAATATACAGCTTACTATAAATACAATATACAGCAATTACTATAAATACAATATACAGCTTACTATAAAAACAATATACAGCTTACTATAAATGCAATATACAGCTTACTATAAATACAATATACAGATTACTATAAATACAATATACAGCTTACTGTAAATACAATATACAGCTTACTATAAATACAATATACAGCTTACTATAAATACAATAAACAGCTTACTGTAAATACAGTATACAGCTTACTATAAATACAATAGAAGATAAGATTTTCTTTAAAGTATTATTTATATAATTGGAATTGATTGAAACAATCTTAATTGTAATTAAGTATAAAGTAAATAGTTTTTACCTTTGTGCTAAAGAATCAACTTATCATGATAAGTCTCCCAATTTCACAGTTTTAATGGTCCGACTTAGGGATAAACCCATTTTAATTATATAATAAAGCTCTACGCTTATATACAGGGTTACCTGCACAAAGGATGATACTTTAAAGACGATTGTATTCAGGGTTCCTTGTAGGCCAATACCAGAAGCATAGTCAATGGTGCTATGGGGGCTAAGCCCCGCTCCCTGGAACAGTGAAGTGAAATCTATGGATTTTAGGGGGTTTTCAGGCCCCACCGGGTGCTGAGCCCCATCCCTGGAAAGAAAGGAAAAATTAAGCCACCCTCCTGGACAAATTCCTGACTACGCCCCTGGACAAAACTTGTTTTTTTTCTGTGCTTAATCATTTTGTAAACTATCAAAATACTCAATTGATTGCAGAAAACTAAAAACCAAGCTTTAAATCGTGGAGTTTTGGGTCGTCTATTTTCAATAGTTATTTAAATAGTTATTCATACGTTTATGAGGATTGAGGGGGTCTTCATTTTGAGAGGTCCAACCATAGGACCGATGGAACAAAGGGCGTTTAAATAATAGTATAAAAATCATGAAGTTTACATGCAATTGTTGTTTAAACTTTTTTTACGATTCGTTAAACAATAAATAAATTGTTAAATTGTGTTCCATAAAACACGGAATTGACGACATTTGAAATCGTCTTCGATGAAGGATAAAGTTTATCTATTTGCTATTAAAGATCTAGTTAAATTGCAACTGAACCCGGGATTACATTCTTTAATTCTCGGTGAAAGGATATGCTACTTCAGAGACGATTGTTTGGAATTCAGTCAGTACAATTGTTATTTAAATCCTGCAGCTGTATACTTGGGAAGTTATGTCTTTTTTAACATTTAAGAATAATTCCAAAAGTCTAAATTTAACCCTCATGTGGTCAAATCTATACAGGTTTAGGTCGCCATTAAAGTCTCATCCTTTGTGGATTACTATATATAAATCAGAGGAAGACCGTATTTTGGAAATTCCAGTTTTTATTATTCAAGAGTATGTTATTATCGTATTCTCAACTAAAAATTAATTTAAAGTGAATTGGAATTCCCATTTTTATTCTTAACACCCTACATAAAACATCGTTAATTGAAAATGAACTTCGTCAAATTAAAAATTTAAAAATTCTACAATTTGTTAAAATTTTGAACAGTTAATAATATATTTATGTTTAATTATTTAATATTAAACATCGTTAATTGAAAATGAACTTCGTCAAATTAAAATTTTTAAAAATTCTACAATTTGTTAAGATTTTGAACAGTTAATAATATATTTATGTTTAATTATTTAATATTAAACATCATTAATTGAAAATGAACTTCGTCATATTAAATTTTTTAAAAAGTCTATGATTTGTTAAAATTTTGAACAGTTAATAATATATTTATTATTCAGGTAAAACAAGGAAGTTTATCTCAGATGTAAACCAGAAAATAGGATTAGGAAAATATTTAAAGTTGGAAATATGTTTCTTGGAATCCTTGGAACCTTAAAGAGACTGTTGGCGTAACTATAAGTTCCCCTCCATTTATAGAGTGGCATGTACGATTTATAACAGGACCATTTTTTACCCTTGTCAGAGAAACAATGTGGAAAAATCCTCGTTTTTTAATCCAAAAAGTTGATAATTTTTTTAGAGAAAATAATCATTTTGCAAGTAGAATAAAACAAGGCATAATTCCTTTATTTTTGCTGAGAATCGAACATAAATAGAGGGAAGAATCACTTGAATTTACATCTACAGTCCCTTTAATACCAAATATTACAAGGACAAATTTATAAAGTTTTAATCTCAAATTTTATTCAGTAAGGATGATAAATTGGGTTAGTAAGTGCATTTATGTTTAAATTTTAAAAGATCGGTCACACAACTAGATTGTACATTGGCCTGGAACCGGGAAATAAAGTTTCTAACCCATATGACACTACCCCCCCCCCCCGGCTCCGTGCTCTCTTTTTTTAACGAATTTGAAATAGTTGAAGGTTTCGATTGAAAAAATCGAGCAGTGCAAAACTTTATGTTTTTTAGGTGGAAAAAAATGGGAGATCATATTTTCTTAAATTTTGAATAAGTGGTTAATATGTTTCCCAAGTATATTCGGAATTGGGAAACAATTTTTGTGTAAAAAGTATCTAGAAGGGTAGAAGTTCCAGTTGATGCCGCGTAGATCCAAGACGAGTTTTGATTCTTTTCTCAAAATCTTGTTTTATAATATTTGCAAGAATTTGAGACTCCAAGGAATAGTTTTAGTTGAAAATGTCGAATCATCTTATGTCACATATTTTCAATTTACCGGGTTTACCAAATTCTTTGAATCCTAGAGCTGGGGGCCGGGAAAGGTTGATAAAAATGAAAAATAATACCAAAACTTTAACAAAATATTACTGAATTTTATTTTTAAAATCTTTTATCCAATACAAGAAAATTATTAAATATCTGGAATTCCCAATTTAAAAAAAGGTAAAGAATTAAGTACGAAATCAATGATCTATTGTAACAATTAAATTGAATTTTTATGGAATAATGTTGTAGTCTAAGTATGACCTAAATGACTATACTTTTTAGTTTTTATTCTTTTTGATAAATGAAATTTTTTTATTTTCCCTTTAATGAAAATATAGTCAGTTGTAATGTAATATTTGACTTCCTTTAAACTGTAGACAAAATTTCAGAGGAAATTCTCAAATATTGAATATTGACACGTTGTGTCTATTCACAACGGTACCTTATCTGATCAAAGAAGGCCTAGATACCCTTTTTATAAAGCAAAAAAATTAAATGCCGGGAAACTCAAAAGTACACAGTACACTGTAAAGAGGTAATCCACAAAATATGAGACTTTGAAGACGACCTAAAACTATTTATTGGAAGTTTAATAGCTTATAAATTGATTTGACAAAGACAATGTTGCAGGGCACTATGTAAAAAAACAAGGTTCAAATTCGGGTTGGTCGTCTTTGAATTATCATCCTTGTACATTGTAGATCCCTGGACCCAATTTTCAGTTGGACAGATAAGGATCCTTGATCAGATAAGAATTGAAAGGGTACCGTTGTGAATTGGAATCTTTAAATGGAATTATTTGAAATTTGAAATAACGTTTATACCCAACAGTCTTTATAATTAATGTTTAATATTTTCCAAATAACGCTTGGCACCAACAAAAGTTTACAAAATAAATTTTAAATATTTACTGAAGATGATCTGATAGAGAACATTCTAGAGAGCAAGGGGATAGATTATGATGAATTCTATGACGATGAATATGAAGACAATGACGAGGAATATGAGGATGATGTTGACGATGATAATGATGAATACGAGGATGATGAGAAAAGAAAAAATGACAAAGTTCATGATGATGAAAATTTAGAAAAAGACGCCTTCAAAAATTATAAGATTGACAAGAATAATGATTGCGTTGAGAATGAAAATAATGATGGCCATGAGCATAACAAGAAAAACGATGATGAGAATGAAAAAAGTGACTGGGCTTTTCGTAATAATTCTCATGAAAAGATGAAGGATCATGAGAAGACAAAGAAAGATGATTATGAGAATGATTTAAATGATGATGATGATGAATGTAAAAAATTTGGACCATGAGAATACAAAGAAACAATGATGAGAATGAAAAGAATAACGGGGCTTTTCTTAATAATTCGCATCCATTCGATTTTACAGATTGACTCATATCTTGAATTAAAATAAACGTTCTGAAGAATATTATGATAATTTTTATACAAATTATTTTAAAGAATGTGTGGGATAAAAATACTATGAGCAATCTTTGCAGGAGATTTTTAAAAAAAGCATTCTCTGGGTTGGAATTTTTTAACGGCTAAATCTTCCTACACGATAAAGATTAGAAGGCTTGTTATCCGTCCCACTGCTATCGTTGACTACAGTTTATTTACAAGTAAGCCACTCCATGCTTACATTAGTTTTCAACTTTCAGTGTTTGATAATTTTAGTTTTTTAGTTTACGATTTGTGCAATTATGCAAATGCATAATTGCACAAATTCCACCCCCTCTCCCATAATTGTTTGTGCACTGCACTCAGCTTAACAAGAGATGCATTTTAAAATAAATATTTAAGTTNGGTCCTTGGAAACTAGAATTTTTAATATTTAATATTTTTGAATTATACACAGCTAGGGATAAATATATAGCTTAAGGATTTAGAAAAGAAATGAAATATTCGACATCAACTTGTAAGTTTGGTTTTCCCCTTGATGATACTTTTTTCCCCCTAGATGATACTTTATTCCCTCTAAAAATCCTTTATTTTTTGCTACGAGATAACAGGTACTAAAAACGATTTTGCAAGAACTTTTTTAGGAAAATATTCACCCCTTATTCTAAAGAAAATGATCGATACTTTTCATCTGTTTAATTGTTCCCTGTTCAATGGTATCTATTTATTATTCATATTTGCAATTCTTTTAATGTCAAGTGAAGCAGGGGACAAAAGCACGAGTCGGAACAAACCATGAAAATATTTCAGTTAGTCCAAGATTTGATTGGTAAATTTACCATTTTAAAATTATCCAAATAAACAAACCGTATGATGGAAGATACCCTCCATTCAGACTTTTCATACAGACGGTAATTAATGAATATTATTGTGAACTAGACTGAAGGAGAAGGAGAATACAACATTACTGGTCAGACTTTGTGACGTCTTAGCTCATCTAGTTTTTATTTAATGCACATGTATAGACTTTGTCTAGTAACAAATAAGAAATTCAAAATATTTTTTCTTCTGAATAGCTTTTTAACTAAAGGAGTTATAATGGACTGCATGGCTAAAATTTGGTCTTGTTGCTGAGCTTCTCTAAAACTTGTATTTTTAATATGTTAAATGTATATTTTATAAGATAATATGACACAACTGGTTCCCGGCTGAAAATCCGAAATTCCATGATTTCATTTTTTTTTGTTTTTTCCAATTCTATTAATGTCAAGTAAGGCAGGGAACAGTGCCACGAGTAGGGACAAACCATAACATTTTTGTATAATATTCTTCCTTAATATATAAATATACATATACATACATATATATATATATACTAGAAATTCAAGGCGCTTCGCGCCCTTCTTTCTAGCCTTAGAGGGCGCTTCGCGCCCATCTTCTAAATTAATTGTAAACATGTTCTCTTTGTGTACATCGTAAAACTAAACAAAAATAATTTGCGGATTTTTACAAAAAATTTCGCGGATTTTCAAAATTTTAAAAAATTTAATGACGATCGAATTTTGATAGAGACAAATATTTGAAATTTTGATGATTCATAAACCTTCCCTGGGCTCCCTAGATGTCCCACAAAAATTTGGGCCCGATCGGTTCAGCCGTTTTGACGTTTATTGGATACAAACAAACAAACAGACAAACAAACAAACAGACAAGCCAAATTTATATATAGATATAAGATCACATAAAATATTTGGGCTCGACCGCTTTGGCCGCTTTTACGTTTATTGGATAGAATCCGACAAAGAGAAAAGCAAGCTAGTATATATATATACATCACGAGATATGAAGTTAATTTCGTTCAGATTTCGACAAATCTGGTTTTATTTAACAACGAAGGCAGACCACATTTTGGAAATTCCAGGAATAGAAGAATTTTGTGGTTATTGTTTCAAGAATCATAGGTTGACGAATGAATGTCACAAATAAATGCCAAGATTAAAGACGACATTCAAGTCGTCTTGCTACTGTCATGTTTCGTGGAAAACCCTGTATAATTACTTTATCCATGTTTCGTCTTGCTACTGTCATGTTTTGTGGAAAACCCTGTAAAATTACTTTATCCATGTTTATATGATTAATACTGACACATAAAGGTATCTTTATGTATCAATATAAATATATATATACATATATATTATCAGATTAATGTTTGGCCTAATAGTTAAGAACCCAGGTGGTATTGAACTATCTTTGTCGATCTATCACATGATATAAATATTAGGAATACCACAACCAACATCTATAATATAGATAGATAGATATAAACGTTGCAATTGTCTGGAAGTCTGTTTGGGTGCCTATTTGTTTTTTTTCAATCCTTGTCCAACAGAAGTAGGTGAACATTTTTTAATGCACTAGGTTTTTAAGACGCTTTGCGTCCATCTCCTATTTCAATTGTGAACATTTTCTCTTTTTATACATTGTAAAACAAAAACAAAAAGGTCGCGATTTTTCAATAAAAAATTTTGGGATTTTCATAATTTTTCAAAAATCAAATTTTGTTAGTGGCAAAATTTTGAAAATTAAATCATTCTTAAACCTTCCCTGGGGTCGTGTGAGGTTCCACACAAAATTTGGGCCCGATCGGTTCATCCGTTTAGACGTTTATTGGATACAAATGGACAGACAGACAAGTAAAGTATATATATAGACTAGGCTTTTAGGGCGGTTCGCGCCCATCTTTTTCAATTGTAAACATGTTCTCTTTGTGTACATTTTAAAACAAAGAAAAAAATTCGCGGATTTTCAAGATTTAAAAAAAAATTTACAAAAAAAACTTTTAAACACAAATTTTTTAAATGTTGATCATTCATAAAACTTCCCTGTGGTCACATGATGTCCCACATATATACGTGAGATATACAAAAAAAGGTGTCTTGCTAAACATGACAGTTGGTGAATAGTTCAAAATGACTTCTTCCATGATTTTTCAAGTTGTTTGATACCAAAAAGAAAAATAAAAAAATATTAGATGGCATACATTTCATACTAAAATTAATTTCGAATAAAAAAAAATAAAAAAGATTTTTAACGAAATATCTAACTGACAGTATGTGGAAGAAGACATTCAGAAATATTCAGCAACATGTCATGTTTCGTGGGACATCATGTATTTTTGCAAAATATCAGCTAACCAAAATTAGCGCCGTAAAAAACTGTTTAAAATTAATTTTTAAAAAAGTAATAAAAATTCATGGATATTTTATGAAATTGATAAATACATAAATGTGCGGGCTGTATATTTAAATCATGCATTCCTCTAAATTTACTACTAGTAGAGTAACTAGAGTTTAGCAAAGAAACCCGTAAATAATTCGGAATTTCAGTTTCTCAAACCATGATACATTTATAAACTAGTTTATAAATACTTTATAAGCTAACTGCTTGGATAAAAAGTACACTGCCTGTTTTTCCAAATGTATTTAGCCTGGTTTGCTCTCTAATTATGTAGGAAATAAACCCTGGTTTGATTTATAACAATTTCACCAGGCAAATACAAAATGCATGTTGATCATGTTGAAAACATTAAATGGGTATAACTTTGATATGATGGGGGCAAAACTGCATAAAAAAATTAAATGGGTATAACTTTGATGCGAAAAAAACTGCATGAAATAATTAAAACGTTTAAAAAGGAAAATGGCCACCAAAGCGGCTTTGGGTTTACAAAATTTAGCTTTTGATTATATATTTGTTTTAAATCTTACAGATAAAAGTAGAAACAAAAAATGATCACCGTAATAGAAAAAAGGATTTGATAATAAATTGGTCTGGTTCTTCGGTAGCTAGCTGTAAAACACAATTCGGGGAATTTATCAAATTTTAAGATTTTCATTTAAATGGAATTCCAAAAAAACGGTAAATTTATGATATGATTTTGTTACTTGTTTTGATATAATAAGCTTTTTAACAAAGCAGGAATAGAGATTCAAATTTAATTTCAATTTCATTTTATTTAAATGGGAAAAATATTTTATGACACTATTGTGTACTTTATCATTCTTACTCACTTCACAGTGAATTTCATAATGAACGTGCTGTAAAGTAATCATCGTACTATAAAGTTAAATTTGCTGTACATTAACACGTGTGCTATAAAATTGGTCCCCGGATTTTCTCCAAAATAGTTAGGATATTTCCAAAATATTTTTAAAAATCAAATGGAAATAAAATTGAAATCAACTTTATATTTTGACTTCAGCTTTGTTTCAAAGCTTATTTGATCTAGAAATAGCCATTGAAATAAGACAAGTACACAAACGTTTCATAAAATAACCTATAGCACTATTATTTTGGCACGACGTGCTAGAGAGTTTTTGGACTTAAATTTTCTCTATATCTCGAAGGTTCTCGCCTTTTTAGATTATATTTTGTCCCTCGCTATTAAATCTAAAAAGGCTTAAACCTTCTCGATAAAGAGAAGATTTCTGTCCAAAAACTTTATAACACTGCGAACCAAAATAACAGTTTTATAAATAGTTACCAGAAATGATTAATATCCAAAAAAAACTAAGAAAATCTGGGAACCAATCAAAACTTTATAACACTGTGCTATATTATACAACTAGTTTAACATTATATAGCACAATGATTACTTCATAGCCCGTTAAAAATAAATTCACCATGAAGTGAGTATGAATTGTAAAGCACACAACATTTAAAAGATTTATTTTTGATGACTTACAAATGATTAAATACATATTTACGAGAATGAAAAAAATATCCCAAGCAGTATTTTTTGACTTAGTTGTGTTTGGCCTAGATTCCTGAAAATACAAAAATACAGTGAACTGAGATGATGTTGAGATAAAACAAATAAACTGGAGAATAAAGGAAAAAGAATGGCGCAGAGCTGCAGTAGAGAACAGGCGCTAAACAAACCTCCAGGATTTAATTAAACTTGGACAAACTTAAATAGATTAATAGACAAAACAAGGTTAAAACTTTGTTATTGATATCACAATTTAATAA